CAGTTCTATTTAAGGTTAGGGTTAGTCTCCTGGAAATGAATGTAAGGCTATGTAGGGACCCGGTCAGTGACAAAAACAAGGATGTGTGTGTGCATTTAATCCATCTGCCTTGAGCGGTTGTTTGAAAGGGTGTAGGAGCATTGTTCCACAGGAAGCCACAGCTCATTGTTGTTTGCCCTGTCTTTGCCTCAGCTGTGTTGCTGTCACTGACTCCTGACAAACATGAGTCACAGTCAAGGTCACAACTAAGCTGCGTGTGTCTCGTGAATATAAACACGATACAGTGGTAGAAACTTTTAATATACTGCGCACAAGTTTAGGCGGCACTACATAATCTATGACCTTTGCTGTCCTGTGCTCAATAGGGGCTACGAGCTCTACCACATTTATCCCCTGTGACGACAGAGGCTTAGAAATCTAATGTTCACATCAGGGAGGAGCTGGTAATTTACAGCATTTTCATTCAGAAGAAGTACAACACAAAGCACTTCCATAACAATACTGCTTGATCATACAGTTTTGTCTTGATTACCAGGCTCAAATTTCATCTAATCCAGCTCCATGCTGGCAGTTCTGCTCTGCATGAATGAGTACAAGTGCAGTGGGTATGGAGTTAAAGAAAATGACTTTTCCACAGACTGACTTTAGAGAACAGAAAGCTCACACCTTATCATGACCCTATCAGCCACTGCAGATACAGTGTCACTGTCATCTTGAGGTACAGAGTACTAAAACCTTTCTTAATGCTCTTCTGAGCATCAGATCCATCTTAAAAACATCATCTCAGATAACCTTCATACATCTCTGTCATATGTAAATGACGTTTAGTTTCATTCAGACACCATTTTTTCCTTTTGGAACAGTTTGCTATACATTCATTGACAGCTGTACAGCGAGGGTCTGAATATTGTGCTCAGGAGCTTGAGAAAGACTCCAAAGGGAGGGGATTCACTTATGCTCACCTTAAACTAAATGTCCTGCAAACTTACTGTAGATTTTTTAAGATTTTATATCGGACAACTTATAACATCACTGTCCCCAGCCTTCATCTTGAGCATGCAGATGTACTTTACATTTGGCCAAATGACTGCTCAATAACGCCAGATTCAGTGTTTGCCAAGTAAAACTAGGCTAAATTGCTTTAGTGAAATTAACAGTTTTTCAGAAGGCAAATGAAACGCCTTCCAGAGTCTCTCGCTCTGCCTAATTTTGTTCTCCCCCTTCTCTCTTCTTTTATTCTTTTTCTTAACCTTTTCTGACAGGATTAATTAAATGCCACTCCAACAATCAGCCGCAAGCCAGAGGAGGGTGTGTGCCTGTTTCTGACCTTAAAGCTTTATGTTTTTTTAAACCAGGGCTCTCCCTGCTGCTCTTACCTCGACACATCCAGGGCTCACTGTCTGTTGCTGTCTCTTTATCTCTCTGGTTGGCTGCAGGGCAGTCTGTAGAGCTTAGATGTCACAGCTGGTGTGAGGTTCAAAATATAATCTTACAACATCACATTAATACAAAACAATGAAGACAATACACCCTTTCAAAATGTGCCAGTTAGCCCTGAGCTTGTCTTTGGATGTCAGAGCAGCCTTACTTTCCATCCAGAGTGCCAGTGTGACCTTATCCAGCCAAGAGCTGATGTGCTGTCACCCCGAAGGGCGGCCCTGCTGTAAAACACATAGCCTTGGTTTAAGCCATGTTTCAGCTATGCATTCAGTTTCACTGTCTGTCACACTTTACAACTTTACTGCACACCTTGAACTCCAGAGTTAAGTTTGATCAGTGGCTATACAGTAGGGTCAAACATCCACTTGGTTTAACTTTCAAACAAAGGTTTTTTGCCAGGTGAATGGAGGAAAGTGACAGGCCCTGAAAGATATCTGGGGAACAAACCTCAATCATTTTTGCTTTTTAGCCAAAGTACCCAGAAATAACCTACGCAGGCACAAGAACATGCAAACTCGACATAGAAAGGCACCCGGTCGGCCCGGGTTCAAATCCAGAACATCCTTGCTGTGACGCGACAGCACTAACCACTGCATCACCATGCTGCCATCTGAGTCCCCTGTGCTTTGTGAATTTCATTCTCTCAGGAGAGCAGGTAAACCTCAGCTACTGCCAGGCGATGAAACTATTTTACAACTGCACTGTGGAACAGGCTGAGCCCTGCAGCTTCTGCAAGCTGCCACAAACTCTAATGTCTGTTTTCCACAGTTTTACTGCTGATTCACTGGTCTCTCTGCAGTCTTACACTTCTTCTCACTAAGTCACCTGCTCTGACTGCACAGTCCCTGTGATAAGACCTGCTTTATTTAACATTCATAACAGTTTCTTTTACATTTTCCTCAAACTATTGTTCACTGATGTCTGTATTGTATGTTTGTGTTTTTGTTGATGTGACACATCGTGAATCCATAAAGCAGGGGAACTGGAGCAGATCTGATCTGACACTGAGCAAGAGGTGGGTCACCAGGACAGGCCACAGCAATCACACAGCTGACACACACAGACTGACCTTTCACATTCACATTTACCGTTTGTCTTCGGCACTGTGGGAGGAAACCGGAGCACCCAAAGGAAATGTATGCAGGCACGAGGAGAACATGCAAACTCCACATAGGAAGGATGAAGCTTCCACATTAAGAAATTTGAACTGACACCTGCATCTTTAATCAAGTCCAAACAGGCTAATGGGGCACTTCATTACCCAGAGCACTGGGTGAGCATGAAAACACACAAATTAAAGCATTACTCATGTCATGTGTCAGAAATAGTTGATATCAGTCCTGGAGTCCACCTGCGCCTTCCTACACACATTTGCACACCCAAACAAACACTTCTCTTTCATAGGCTACCAGAGCATATCTGCAAGGCAGCCAGTGGCTATATTTACAAGTGTGTCTGCTGATGTGCATGTGTGTGAGCTACTTGGCAGTTGAGGAGCTGAAGGGTTGTCCACAAAACAGACCCAAAAGAGGGCCGATTCACTGTTCTGTGTGTGTGTGTGTGTGTGCCATCCTTGTCTGTATTGCAACACCTGAGGCTGAGTGGACGGTCGGCATTATCATTTATGATGAGCTTGGAGGGCTCAGCTGAATGGACGATGTTATGATGAGTCCTACGTGCCACTTTGCACCTGTGTGCATGTGTGTGTGTGTATCCACCTGGTGTCCAAGTCTCTCATCTCCATATAAATGGCCCGAGGGAGAGGGAATGGTTTCTTTTTAAATTTGAGTGTTTGAATGTGCATGGTGTGCTATTCTGGGTATGAGCCACCATTATTAGACCGTCCAATCATCCACAACAACAAAACCATTATCACAAGACTTCCATGAAGACTAGTGTGTGTGTATTTCACTTGTACTGACAGTTGCATGATGTTTGAGATGGGTGGAGCAGTAATGAAGCTTCACAGTGTGTTTGTGCTGAGCTGCTCGCTGACTATACAGGTTTGACAGAACAGGTTACCTGAATTTTTCTTTTTAGCTGTAACTGTTAATTGTACATACATTGCTGGTTTTGGTCTTGTCACAGGAAGAATTAGCCCATGAGGATTCACACAGCTGACTCAACCAGCTTGGCCGTGTGTGTGTGTGTGTGTGTGTTGTGTATGCATTGGCTCCCTCTTGCTTTATTCAGCTTCTCACCCTTTGCCTCTCAGTCCCTTCAGTTAAGAAGGGAGATTTTGTCCCCCCCCCCCGCCTCACTTCGTGTCTTCTGCTCTGGGGTCTGCAAGATGTTAAGTTCTCGGTTGGCATGCAGAGCAGCTTCATACGGCTCTAAAGGGCAGTTCCCATGATTCATTAACTTCATTTAATACAAAAAGAACTGAATTCATTCTGCTCTGATTTGATAACCCTAAAACATAATGTTCACACAATTCTAAGTACTTACAGAGAGAGTGGAATCACTACACACAAATAAAAGTGGTTTAAGTGTAAGACACAAACACACACTGGACAAGTGCACATATCAGATGTCTGTCCCCGTCAACAACATGACATACTGGAGACGTTATCATCTTCTACTGTCCGACGACATATGAATTATGTGAATTTCCATCAGTTACTCTAAACAGCAACTCTGCACGTTTTTTCATCTATATCTGTCCTCAGAGTAACAGGTCTGTCTTCTGTATTTATTGGCCTTGACTCTGCAGATAACTTATGTTTGTTTAGGGCACAGTCACTGTGACTTTCTCTTCTAGGCAAAAAGCATTTTGAATGTAAATAGGTTTTGGTGTAAACAAAGATTAAATCAATACACGGACTCTTTCAGCTTTTCAATGTACAGAACACAATGGAAGAACACACAAAAGGTCATCATAAACAATAAGACAGCATTTTTCATTAAGTTTTAACATTCAAATTCATAGCGTTTTGCATATGCAGAGGCACAGAAGAAGAAAACTTTGGCTTGTTAAAATGCAAACGTGTGGCTAATGGTCCCATTGAACTGTTTTTATTTGTGTCTACCTGTACAACAAAACTGAACATTTATGTACTTAAACGTCCACAGTGTAAATCTCTGTAACATCAGGTTGGAAACAGCAGCGTGCAACTTTTAGGGTTGTTCAGTATCACACAAAATAGAGAACAGCAGCACGGTGGCGCAGTGGTTAGCGCTGTCCCCTCACAGTAAGAATGTTCTGGGTCTGAGCCCCGGCTGACCTGACGCCTTTCTATGAAGGAGTCTACATGTTCTCCCTGTGCCTGCGTGGGTTCTCTCCAGGTACTCCAGCTTCCTCCCACAGTCCAGCGACATGCAGCTTAGGTTGACTGGTGACTCTAATTGCCTGTAGAAGTCAGTGTGGGTGTGCATGTGTTTGTCTGTCTCTAAGCACCAGCCCTGTGACAGACTGGTGACCTGTCCAGGGTGGACCCCGCCTCTTGACCAGAGTCAGCTGGGACTGGCTCCACCCCCCACTGACCCTCATTAGGATAAGCCGTATAGATAATGAATGTATGAACATTTTCATGTAAAAAAACTGCCCTGCTTTCATCAACCCATTTTAAACTCTATTAATGTGCATTTTGACAGTCACTCCTTGGTAAACTATAAGTACAGATTAATTATCCTGAATTCACATTCACATCACCACACCAGGATGAGAGAAATGCAAGTGAAAACACAAACTGGGGGAATTCCCAGTGGCCTTACAACAGTTCACTACAACGTATGAGAATGAATCCAGGGTGCAACAGTTTCTCTTTTTGCACAGTTGAAACTAGATCAGTTAAGAGAACACATGTTCTTTGTGTTCATTTACATAAAAACTGGAGATAAACGCTTCAACATTTGGATGTTTGATTTGTGAGAATGCAGGAGAGGGAGCTACCGTCCAGCTTCAGGGGCCAGATGCATAAAACTGTTCGTAAACTCTTGACTAAAACTGCATGTGCGCACTAAGGCAGAAGTGCGCATTGTTTGCGTCATGTGTGCCGGGTTCCGTCTCATAAGCCTCAAAGCACGAGCTTCTTTTCCACTCCCATTTTTAGACATAAATAGATGTAAATAAGCCCGTAATCAATTATTTGCATAGAAAACCTCTGTTTGCATATTAAAGAAGAAGGTCATTTCAGTGCCTGTAAAACTAAGACTGATTGGCGAAGTGGAGAGAATATGATTGTTTATTGGTCTCAATTCAGAGATGACAAACAGAAGAGAAGCTGCTGACTGGCAGGCTACCAGAACAGAGGACCGTGGCTGCGGTTAAAAGGAGAAAGAAGAAGAAGAAGTTGTCGGATTGTGAGCGAGAGACAAAAAAGCGCATGTGTGCGTACAAAGAGAGCATGAGGATGACAGGAGGATGGCACCTCCTGCATTATAGTATCTACAGCAGATGAACTAATTGCAGTTTTAACCACACACTAAACCCTCTTTCTCTTCTTACGGCGGCATCCTCAGGCGCCACCATTACGCACAGCTGCAGCTCTTTATAGGCCGTTGTAATATAATCACACTCCTGTAAAAGCTTATTGTTAGGCTGGTGATATCTTAATCATCATTACATGAGAATGAATTGACAGTAATAGCAGTCTACAGTATAAGTCACAAGAAATTCTAAAATGAAAAACAGGAAAACAGCTGAGGTAAAAGACATAAGATCAAAATTCATCAGGCCGACACTTTATGACCTGTAGTATATGTAAACAGCTGACAATAATGCAGGCTGCTTAGAAATGGTTGAAGCTTATCTTTCATCTCCACTTCAGGTCTACTCAAACCCTGTGCACGCATGGGATGAAGTATGCATGAGGTGCACATATTGTTCCCCCAAGTTCTATAGATATAGGCCTAGGCATGGTTTTTGTGTGTATGCATTGCTTTTGCATCTGGCCCCAGATGTCTAGGCCTCTCATTACATAGAAGGTCATGACCCCTAAAGAAGAAAGCTTATAGAGTGCAGGCAGTCGGGCAACTGAATTTTTAACATCAGGAGAACTTAATATATTGAAATGCAGCCATATGAATAAGAATCTGCGAAAATGTCTCTAGAAATGAGAAACACAGGAGCAAAAATAAAACTCTTACCCAGTCACACATAGTTTGGTCCAGTAATATGCACAGGAGTGGTTTCATATTGAATATGACCACGTGGAAAACTACTTAGTGTGCCCTCCACCAGATGAAACAGGAGAGGGTCAATCCCACAAAGTTCAGAAATTCACTCAAACTGCCAGAAAACTGTAACTGTAGAGTGAAAAATGTTGTGCACAGCCAAGTCCTTGCTGTGTACACCGATCACAGTACAGTTATGAGTTTAGACTTTTTTACTGAAGCTGAGGTAAGCTAGTTTTCTATTTTAATTTGTTATTTTAATATGCATTTTCTTTGGCATGATGTACCGTAACTATCTTGTGCTCTTCTGTCCTTGTACAGGAGAGGAGCTGCTGTCTGCTCTGCTCTGTGCTGGGCACTGGCTCAGTTTGTCCTTCAGGCCCTTAAGGTTGTACAGCCTGCTAAAGGTGACAGTGAATGGAGATCTTCTTTCTTCCTGCCTGGGTGCCTCCTGCGCTGAAGCCATCTGGCTCTGGGAATGAGGATGGAACTTGGACTGCATGTTTGAATGTTTGTGGAGCAAAGAAGGCCGGGCTTCTGGGTGAAGATGTTGATTCTGTGACTGTCTGGCCCTCGCACTGTCCTGAGCTACTAGAGGCTGTCGAGAGATGAGGCTCTGCTGGCTGCCGGAGACTTCAGTCTGCTTCTGCCCAGCTGCAGACCCAATAACACCTGCTGCAAATGGAGGGGCTCCTCTGTACACAGATCTGTGAAGAGATGAGGTATTATCCGAGACTGGGAAACTATAATGGAGCACCTTGTTTTCAGGATGGTTCAGCTGATGGCTTCTCCAGGGACGCTGTCCCTGAGGCTGGGTGGCTGGCCAGGGACGAGGGGTTCTGGGTGGTCGGGAAGGGGAGGGCGACCCACTGCCTCGCTGCCGCTGTCCCCGTGAAAGCTTGGGAGAGGTATGCAACAGCTAAGGAAGAAGAAGAGAAGAACCGTATGATGCATGCATGCATGCTCAGGTATTAGTACATTTGACTAGGGTTATTCCGTTTGTGGGCCGCCAACTTACTTACAACGGAGTGCAAAACGTTTACATTCACAAATGCACTGCTGGCTGACATAAAAGAGAAAAGAGAGGCATTTGGGTGCAAATGTGAGCTCTGCTTTATTGTCACTTGTGCTAATACTAAATGAGTGAACTGAGTGAAACAAAGTAAACACCTCCGTGTGTTGAGCAGACATTTGTTAGATAAAAAGTGGAGACTCAGGTCAACAGTGAGTGAGTTGAACTATCTTTCACCAGTTCGTTAATACTGCGTCAGTGTGAATATGTGCAGGGCTGTGTCACACACAGTAGTCTCCTTGTTCAGTAACAAACAGGTGTTGTGTGTTTCAACTTGGTGGTGCTCTGCTGGTGCATACTCAACAGACCTACACACACACCACAGAAGTGATAAGATTGTCTAGTGCACCTCATACCAGGTGCCCTCAGACTTCCGCTCCTGTCCCAGTCACCTGACTGCCCACACTGATATGCTCACCTGTTTCCACATTCATAATCAGGCCCTGCTGGCCTCATTCTTTGCTGTTCACCTCGTTGGCTCCCTGTTTTTGCCACCTTACCTGTAAGTCTAATAATTGTTTCTCTATTAATGTACTTCACACTACCCCACTGCCTGCGTTTGCATTCTCCCTGAATGTGCTCCATACAGCAATCATGACAGATAGATAATGGATTTGGTTAGTTCCAAAGACCCATTTAAACACACACACAAATTATGTAAAAACATTTGACACATTCAGAGTTCAGTCCACCTTGGGAGATGACTAAGCACCAACCAGTCCAAACTAATGAGTGTAACACCTCAGTGAGACATTGTGAGTTCAGCAGCTGAGATGCTGCTGCAGGTCATTTAATACCATCCTCCTGCTGACATTGCATTGGCTTACTCTATTCACTGTTCATGTGTTTTGAGTAAACACGGTGAAACAAAACATAGTATTATTAAAAAAATGAATATGTACAATGATTACATTTTGAATGAATAAGTGTCAAACTTATTCATTATTATAACATGTGAGAAACTCTTGCTGAAGTGCCAAATGCTGAGAATTGATACCACTCACATTTTGTACACTAAATACCAACAGCCACCTGCTTTAGCCTAGCACAGCAGCTGGAAACAGGGAAACTAAAAGCCTGCTAGCACATGTACAAGTCACCGACGTTAAGTTTTGTTTGTTTAATCCAAACAAAAACTGGTTATGTGTCAGTGGGGAGCTCTTGGCAGGCAAACAGCAAAGACTCCAGGAACTACACTGACTTAAAAAAACCGTATGGAACAAAACTAGTTTCTGTACAGAAAAGACACCAGATGTAATGTGTTAGTTAATGAACTCTGGAGGTGCTGGTAGAGGCGATTTGGACACAGCCAGGCGAACTGTTTCCCCGTTTCCAGTATTTATGTTAAGCTAACCTCACATTTCACTTACTGATCCGCAGTCTGTGGTACAGACGTGCATCAAATATGTGTGGTATTAATCCTAATATGGTGGAATATGTGTAAAATGTGTCAAATGTTATGTGCAGTTTTAAAACCGCTGAATGGTGAAACTGCAAAGGCTCATCAAAGAAACAACGAAGGAGTAAAATGTGATATTTCTTGATTTGATTCAGATTAATATTAGTTAATATTAGTTTTGGAGAAATATAGTTATAAAGCATGTCCCCTGACAAAATGGATAGACTGTGAACTGTGCTTACCCTTTATGTCACTGGTGTAGGCTGAACAGAAAACTGCAAAATGTTTAGAAAGTTAAACAGTGTAAATGATTTGGGTTAGATTAACCTGCATGGTGGCTCTAATTTTTGTGCGAAAAGGAGAAATTATTTTGAAAATAAAGATGAAAATATCTGCTGCCTTCTGATCATACCTTATGTCCCTCCTTCTCTCTGGGTGCTTGGGGCCTGCCTCTTCTTTCCACACTGCTGGATTGTTGTGCTACCTTGTCCGCTACCTTCTCTTTGCCTGGTCCCGCTGCCTTCTCTGGTTTAAGGCCACTAGTGGACGAGTGCTTTAGATCTGTTTCCTTATTGGTTGACTTTCCCAGAGCCGTTCCTACATTGACCAGACTCTCTGCTTCCGATTTGTTCTTTGCTCTTTTTCTCTCAGGAGCTTGAGGTTGGGTCTCCTTGTTGTTTTCTGCTATTTCTGCTGAATCTATTTTTAAACTCTCGGTTGTTCGCTTAGCTTCCTCACTGCCTTTCCTCTCTGCCCCACTCAGTTTCCTCCCATTTTCATCCTCTTCTCTCCCATTTTCTTCTACATTTGCTTTATTTTCAGGTAAAGAAGAAGAAGAAGAGGAAGAAGAAGAAGAAGAGGAGCTACTGCCAGGCCCACACACTGCTGTTTCACTGCTAGAGGTACTGGTTGCACTGTCAGCGGTGCCTGATGACTCATTTGGGGTAGCTGCATGTGTAAAGTTGTCATGATCCTCTGTTGGCCCGTGGTTGCAGTAACCCACATGGTCAAACACACCATCAAGGAGAGGAGAGTTGCTACATTCATAATACTCCTCCGAGGTAGTGGAGGGGTTGGAGTCCTCCCTTGGCGAGACATCCCCGTCACTATCATTGGGCGTAGGTGTCCAGAGGCCTGTAGTGTGTGAGCAAGGGTCTGCTGTCTGTGTTTGTGAGGCTGGGGTTGGCATGTGTGGAGGAACCCCATCAGGAGTTGGAGTGTGTTTGAGAGTGGGTGAAGGTAATTCTCGCTCAGGTGCTGGTGAACGCTGGTCTGGCATGTGTGTGTCAGAGAAGTGTAAGCGCAGGGGTCTCTCAGGAGTGTGTGAGGTTGCCCGTGCTTTGGGAGATGGCTGGGATTCTTGAGAGGTGATGATGTGTGTGTTATGTTGTGCTGTATTTGGCTCGCTGTCTGTGCGGTGTGCTCCTGATGTGTCCCTTGGATTACCTCGCTGAATGTGTATGCTATCATCAGCGCTGTCTTTGGCTATGTGTGAGTTAGTTGTGGCAGGAACAGGAATGTGTGTTGAATCTTTTAAGTCCACAGTCTCTAATGGATTCCCTGCATAGTACGGTGTCCCGTGAGGCTCATGTGCTCTTGCTCTTGCATTGTTTGTCTGTATGTTGTCACTTTTTTCTTTTGGCACTTCAGCAGCCTCACAGCCTGTTGGGGTTTTTTCTGGAGCCTCGGTGTCTGTCTGTGCTGTGGCCACGTGGTCCGTCTGTGTCTTTGGGGTTATTTTGCAGTCTGATGTCAAACTCTTGGGGTCAACTTCTTCAGCTTTTTCTGTGACAGTCTTCACCACATTTGTTACATGAGCTTCACTGTGGGCCTCTAGTGGCCCTGTGTTGGCCAGGCTCTCAGCCCTCTCGACAACACTGCTCTCTGGTGCCTTCTGGTCATTGCTGGTGACTGAGTTTGTGTCAGCCGGTGCACACAGGTGTGAGGACTGTACACTGTTTGACTTCTGTGTCCTGGACACAGCAGCACTTTGACTGTTTAAACTAGTTTCTGCTTCTTGTGTAGTGTTGGATCCAGGAAGGGGCTCTGGCTTAGGGTTGTTTTTGGTGCGAGAGGGCCCCTGATTGTTGGGAGCAGATGCCTTACTGCTGGATTGGGAAGGTGTGTGTTCAGCGAGGTGAGGTGTAGTGTTGTGGCCTGCATCTTGGTTGGTGGATGTGCTTGACTGCAGTTTATTCTCAGTGTTGAGAGCCTTAGAAGCATCCTTAACATGTTCGGACCTTTGCTCAGGTGCAGGTAATTTCTGTCCAGGTGGCTCCTCTTTACTTTGGATGTCACTGGGTTGTGTTGGTTGAGCATTGTCTCCAGATTCTCCAGCCTTGATTATATCTTGTCTTGGCTGGACTTCATGCTTCTCCACATGATTTCCAGTAATCTGTTGGGGCATGGCAACCTCTGGCAGGGTTTCCTTTGGCATGCTGATTGGAGTGCTGAACCTGACTGCTTGGCTGGTTTCAAACATCTCAGACCGCTGCAGATGGACCGGAGCTGGTTTGCTGGTATCCCGAATGTTAATGTATCCAATTACATCGCTGGGCGGGTCAGGCTCAGGCCAAGTGGGCAAGTATGCGATTAAGCACGCTTTCTCTAAATCAACAAGTCCAGGATGCAGGGGAGGAGACTCCTCTATAGCTTCTTTATTGGCCCCTCTCTGCCTCCTCCTCTTGGTTTCTGTGACATCTGGGTTCTTGGAGTTCTCTGGATTTGGGGATTCTTTGGGGCTATTGTTATCAGCAGCAGGGGTAGGGCTGGAGCTGGAGCTGGGGTTCCCTTCAACAACCAGGGCGTATTTGGGGCTGTACAGTTTCCTAGCAACAGCAGCAGAAGGTAGGGCCACAGTGCTCAGCTGCGGGAGGGGCCCGGGCTCAGGTTCGGGTTCCATGGTGATCTGCCGGAGGTCAACAGAGCTGGAAGTCCCATAAAGGCAGCGAAACAGCTGATCGAAAGCGTGCACTGCCTGGCCTGTTACCATGGTGATGAGATTTTTGTCCAGCCGCGATGACATCCAGGTGAAACTGCAGTACACACAGAAAATACAAGTCAGACTGTTAAAGTACATCAAGTCCATGAACATGTACTCAGGCCAAGTAAACGGCAGCAACTGAACCAGGCAGGTAGATTCACAGTACATTCAGCTTTCAAAGTGGCTTTGTTTTCGGCACTGAGCTCCAGAGAACAAGTAGCTGTGCAGTTCAAGTTCTGATTTTCAGCTTTTAAGGGCATTTGAGATTCAGAGATAAAGTTTCTGCTGATGTCTATGTGTAAACAGTCACTTAATACAATGGATTTGTAATCGCATACTAAATATATTTTTATCATTTATATCATATTAATTGGTCAAATTACATTCTATCACTAAGACAGTATGTGAATTATGCACAGTATGTGTGGTGTTAAATTTACAGCCTCAAATTAACCTGGAGTACGGAGCCAAACCTAAATGTGTCACTGATGCTCAGCACTGTATGTATATTTATTTTCCTTGGACATAGAATACATTTCCAACCTGTTTGTCTAGTATTTAAAGAATGCTACTGAGCGTCACTAGAGACAGTGCATTCTTTACTCTTATCTCTCCATGCCATGGAGAAACAAAGACAGGTGGAGCACACAGATAATCTTTCTTTCAGTCACTGTCTCTCTTGCTTTATCTCGTTCTAACACTCACTGACAAATACACACAGAAAATACACTGACCTGTACGAACCAGACACAGCTTTGTCTCCATCAATAAACATAAATCTGTGTCCCATTTGCCCTCTGACCTTGGTGCAGGACCGAGTGTGAAACTCCGCTCCATCTGTGCAGCGAACACGAAGGTGCTGCAACACACAAGCACACAGAGTGGATTTGTCCTACATCCTCCACTGTAATCTGTCCTAACATTGTGAGATCCTATATTGTAAGTAAAAAAAAAATAAATGAATAACATCCAGTTATTGCAACATGCAATGAACAAATGTTATTTTTAGCATTTTTAAATATCTTCCTCTTTGAATATTTGTTGGCTGACTGGCCAGGGTTTGTACAGTGGCAAAGAAAAACCATGTGAGCCCTTTGAAATGACCTGGTTTTCTCCAGTAATGTCATCTGATGTTCATGCAAGTCACGCATATAGATAAACATAAAGCGCTTAAGATAACTCGGTTTTAATATTTCATGTCTTAATAAATCCCTTAAAAACATTCACAGTGATGGTGGGAAAAACCCTTGGATGTAATAAACGATCGAACCCCTCCGGCAGCTGAAGGTCAGACCTGCACAATCCTCAGGAGTTATTTCCTTCCTTACAGAACGACTTCAGTGTGAACAGCTCTCTTGAGATCATTCCAAAGTTCCTCTATCAGGTTAACATCTGGCCTCGGACTGGGCCACTTCTTTCTTCGTGTCAAGTCATTCTGTAGCAGATTTACTTCAGTTTAGGTCAGTCTTCTGCTACATCAACCAGTTCCTTCAAAGGCCCATCACCCATATAAGACTGAAGTTAAAGCACTTTGAAACTTTTTAATAAAATCTCTTTAGTAAACAGAAACAGTAGAAGGAGTAATTTTCCACTTGCTTCCCTGAATTTAAACAAATTTCTCCACACTGTTGTGCAAGTACACCTACCAACACATCTTGCACAACCAACATGTTAATTGCCACGGATTTTGATTCAGTTAAAATCTGGTGTCCCGCAGGGGTCGGTTCTTGAGCCACTGTCCCATCACACAACCACACAGTTAAGAAATAAAAAGTGACCTCGTGTCCTCTATTATTTGAATTGCATTGTAGAGCATTTGATCACCAAGAGCACAATTTCTTTACATGTGTACAGTGTCTTTGTGTGTGCACACACTTTATTTTTCTTTTGCATTGTGCACATGGAAACAGCGACTTTGACCGACCCACATGTGTGATAGTATATCTGTGCAGCAATACAGTATATTCAGAGTGGCAGTGCTAATGTTTAGTGATCATTATTGATACTAACTGGGTGGTATAGTCATAAAAGACTTGGACAGTGTTTCAGATAAGAGACCACACATAAAAAGTGCCTTAGGTCAAACACTTTCATTATCAAGTCGTTCTCAGTTCTCTCACATTGACTCACTTTTCCTTTCCCTTTCTTCCTTCCTTTCTTTAGCACATACTGATAACAGCGCATATCAATATCTAATGAATCTCAGTGACACAAAAGCTGTATCCCAATTCGGCAGATGCTCCAAAACAACACGCAACAGAATGTCTTATTATGAGCCAAAAATATGTTCGGCATAAGGAATATGCAGCTATGTTTTGGCAGCTCCTGGAGGATATGAGTAATGTCTCCATTTTGGCCTTTAGCATCCCATAATCCACTGCTTTTCCACATTTGTTAAATGGCAAGTTTTAGTGATCATTGTCAACTTGGAAATAAGCTGGAACTATGTGATCAGATTGTCATTGTAAGGTATTTGGTTCATGTAGGTCATCAGTGACAGACTAATAAAACCCAGGAAAGTTGCCGAGGTGTGGTTGTAGTCACAGTGTTACTGATTAATTTAAGTGGATGTAGTTGCCATTACCTTGGTATGCTATTGACATGTTTGTCAGCTGTTTCAGGTGATTTTCCTGATGATAAACCAGAACATTTTGACCTCAGGTTGAACCTGACCTTTAGGTCCCCTGAAAGGCACAATTTCATGTGCCACATTTCTCAGAGGGGCTGGGTCCTGTCTCTGTGATGCAGCCAAAAATATTATATTTCCAGATGTCTTGAAGTAGCAGATTAGTCCCGGCATGGCCTGTCTCACAGTAGAGACACTTGTTTCCCTGCCTCCTCTGGACCCACCCTTAGCTTTCTTTTCTTTATCTTTTCCTAACTGATGAAACCTGACAATTGTGTTTGTGTATTTAGCTTTAAGCAGTGAATGAAGAGCCGTTAAGCTGTCATAAAACAATTTCATATGAAAATACAACCACTGAACAGGATTCAGTTACAGTAGTACTGTAGCTTCAACAGAGAAGAACACCCTGACCAACTGAGACATGGATCGGTTCCAGTGACCAAACTGTGGATTTGTCTGTTTTGTGGAAATACGTACTTACACCAAGCTCAAAGTGCACATCTGTTAGGCTGAAGGGTCACTGTAATATAGTTGTCCTGAACTGAAGCATGAGAAAAAAATCTTGCACCTCTTTGCCTCAGTCATCTGGTCTCACCACTCATCCGTCTTTCCTCATTCTATCCACTCCCCCACCTGTCATTTACAGCTTAGAGCAAAAACTAAGGCTGTCCTCAAGCTGTCACACCTGTCACCTTCTCTTCCTGCCAGTCATTCTCTTATTCAGCAGCCAAGGCTCAGGCCTCCAACAGATTTGTCACTTTTGCATTAGCTGTTTGTCATTGTTGTATAGCTGTCCCCCTGGGTTGTCAAATTTTCAGGGATACCACATAGTAACCACAGTGAGAAGCTTCTGTCAGAGATCTATGTTGGAGTACTGAAAGGCATGTATGCATTTGTGAACTAAAATCTTGCTGATAACTGATCTGTGCTGACTCTCGGTGAAAAAGAATATAGAATACTTGACAAAACAGAAATGCATAAAGGAATAGTGTGTCTTCTTGATGCAGAGACATTCTGTTTTCAAATATTTGACTGATTTACATGTGGGGCAGCTTCAGGCTAAGTGCGTGCTGCGCAGCTGTATTACTGTAAGCAGGTTTGCACAGGGCACGGACAGATATTCAACGGTAAAAAACAACTGGAGCAGATACAATGGGAGCCATGATACAGTCCTGAGAAGTCGGAAGAAAATGGGAGAATGCCATTTCAAATATAAAAAAACAGGCCCATGCCTTGAGAACAAAACTGGATTAATAACAAAGTATGAAAGTCTCATCCTTCTCTTGTCATGTGTAATCATCATGTGCCATATAAACATACTGTATGTTCATTAAGCACAAACTGCCACTTGAGACTGTGGCATTTTCTGCTGTTTTGCTTATAATCCAGATCCAGATGGTACAGAAATTCTGCCTTTGCATTTCACTCTAGTTCCTCCGAGGCATAAAATGGCAGAGGGGTGTGTGTGTGTGTGTGTGTGTGTGTTATAGGAATGTGTTCATGCATGCGTGTATGTGTGTGGGACAATAAGTCTGTCACCACAAGTATTCTAGCCTGTGCTCTAATGCATTTCTATTATTGTTATTATCATCTCTTGAGGTGTCCTAAATACGTCTTTCTCTGTCTTCAGTGACTCCTGTCTGCCTGCCAAATACTGATATAAACCATTATATACCTCATCACCAACTGTCACTTTGAACATAATTATTTAACACCCAGGGAGCCGGTGCTGTATGTGGGATTTTCTAAAGTGTCTCCCAACAAGAAGGTGGAGCGCTCAACAGCACTGAAGCAACTCTGGCTTCCACCTACCAACCATGGCACTGTCAGGTGCTTAGCACTGAACCTACCCAAACAGTATATTGAGTGACTTGAGGCAGAACAATCATGTTTTGCGGCTTGGCAGTGTGGTCACAGGGTTTAGCTCTACGTTCCCTTAAGATTCAGCTGTATTTTCCTCATTACTCACTTTCACGTCCTAACATGACTAAAATCTGCTTTACAACTTGTGTTTTTCATGGTAACCAGCCAATTATGGAATAAAACACTCAAGGTAGAAAAATAAAGTAAAAGATCCCTCTGAGGTGTGGTGCCAGCTGGACGTGCTTGCCAGTTGCTGAGTGAATCTGTAGGTGCATGTGTGAGCAAGAGAAAGAGAAAGAAAGAGCCGGCATGCGCTTTCACTTATCCGTGCATAAAAAAGACCTCAATCACATCTTTCTTTCACAAGATAATTTGTATTGTACTATGTTCTGTAACAGTCGTTTACAGATGGATTTCTGTCCCAAAATGAGCGGATCATTTCTATTTTCCATTAAAGGCTTTAAGTGTGAACTAGTCATACATCAGATTCACTTGTTATAGTTCATTCTTAAAGAACTGGTTGTGGTGGGAACCACTGACTCTTCATACTTGTATCCCACTGCTACACCAATATGATGAAGCGAGTGACACTGGCTCACCTTGAGATGTCCAGCGTGCATGCTGGCCCTCTGACACATGGACAGGAAATGAGGTAGCGTTGAGCGTTCCAGCAGGATGTAGACCGAAACCTTCCTCTTGAATCCAGCATCTAACAAATCTCTGAAGATGTCGACATCAGTAAAGACATCCATCACCACTGCTATCACCTGGAGACACACAGATACATGTGGGATACATCACTTTGTCTCAGTCTCTCCCATGGAAGACGCAAGGAGAGATGCAAGAAAACATGTTTTCAGACAAACAAGATGCCCTTTGAACTGAAATAAAGTGATAGGAGCAATATTACTTATTGTGAAGACACAAAAGCAAGTGTAAAAAAGGTAAGTCTTAACCCAGGGTTTCAATGTGACAACAGATTACGAGGATCTGCCACTAAACTATTCCACAGTCTGGGAGCAGCAATTGAAAAGGCTCTGTCACCTCTAGATTTGGACTGTGAGCATGGAACAGATATGAGTAACCAATAAGATGATATGGGATGAGATCAGAGATGGAGGATGGCACCAAACCATGCAATGATTTAAAAATGGGAACTTTAAAGTCAACGTTATATTTAAGTAGTAACCAGTAAAGAGAGGCCAGTATAGAGGAAATGTGGCCTCTTCCGCTGGGTACAAGGGAGGAGTCCTGCGGCTGTATTTTGCACTAGCTGACAGTGGACAGGGAGCCTCTCATTTAACTGAAGAAAATTTGTGCTCAGGGAGGCACAGCAGACAGTGGACAGGGAGCCTCTCATTTAAATTTGTGCTCAGGGAGGCACAGCGGCATGGTGGTTAGCGATGTTGTTCAGGAATAAGCGGTATAGATAATAGATGGATGGATGAAATTTCTGCTCATCCAGCATTTCAAGACAATTTAAAAGAGAACAGTAGTCTTGTGATTAATGAAGAAAGTTGTTGATGGTTCTTTGGTCAATCAGACAGTTCACACAAATCCACTTCTCTTAACCAGATGGTGAATCTGAAAACAAACTAAACAGAACTTGGGCATCTTAAATTGGTTCTGTTATTTGTCTGTCCACTTCAGAATAAACTCCTCCCTCACTTCTCAGAAATCTCACTTCAGTACTCACTCCTCAAACACAAGCGCGCTGGGACATCCTTCAAGATGTCAGACAGGAACAACGTCTGGGTCGAACAAGGATTGAGGAACAAAGAACAATCAAATAAAGGAACTGGGATGTACCCAAAACCTTGTTAATGCACATGGGAAACAGATGCACACATACATATTTTATGCATGCAAATCTGTAAATACACAGCCACTTTATTTCAATGCAGTAGGATGAAGCCTTAGTCCTTAGTCATTGTGACTAGGTTGATTTTACAGTGTTTGTCCTCCTCTGCCAAAACAAACTAGATGCAGGTTGTTCCACGGGTTTTATTTTAATATGATTGCACATTTTCATGCACAAAAGAAAACTCTGAAGACAAGAATTGGAAGTGATGAGTGTTCTCCCAGCTCACGCTTATATGAGATATATATCTTTTTCTGACAGAAGCATTTCAGGAAAATGCCCACAGGATGTTTCTGTCAAACTACACATACCACTGAGAACATCCACTAAGAAATAAAACATGTCATAAGCTTGTACCTTCAGGTGAGTCAGCTGTATGAACACTCTCCAGCACACACTCAGATGCATGCACCGTGGCAGTAATAAATTTACTCAAGCAAATATCCAGCACAATGCTCCTGTGTTCTTCTCTCAGTACACGATAAAGCAGCTTAAACAAGGTGCACTTTACTCTCGACTGCCTCATTAGGTGAGAAATCTTCACTCTGACCTCATACTGTCTGAGCCATGGCAGCTCATGGTGACATTACATCTCTTTCAGTTAATCCTCTCAATGGTTACATCAGGTTAGAGAACCGAGGGGCTGATCCTCATAATCAGCAGCCACTGTTGTATTTAAGAAGCTTATAGGAGTTTTAAATGATTGGAAACCAATGTCAATAGTTACATGGGCTTTGGACAGTTTGCCTTCAATCATTAGCAAGAGCCTAAGAACAGAGATACAGCACAGATACAGAAATGATAAGTAAACAAAGACACAGAAGTAAACAGTTTAATATTTTCATGATGTCCTCCAAAAGGCCAAAAACCCTCGGTTGTTTTACTTTTTATGCATTTGAATCCTTTACGCAGGCGGATAAGTGAAGAAAGCAGAGTTTGGGATACAGTAGAGGTTAATTCTAAAGAGAGAAAACAATAAACCCAGGGGCTATTGCTAAATACAACACTGAGGTGTAGAATTGTGTCCAGTTGCAGTGTCCCACTTACCTTCTGCGCCTGCGCAATCGTTTTTCTGACAACCTCTTTGATGTGCGCCTGACCATCCAGCGGTGGCTGTGTGTACACGGTAACGCGCGTCACCCCCCGGTAAGCCTCGCTGTCCGGCCAGCCCAGGTCCATCCGGGGTACAGATGTGTCCGACAAATCGGGCCAGTAGTGCAGCGACAGCGGGGGCTCGTCGTCCTCCGCGTTCTCCGGGAACACCTCCGAATCCGTGTCGTAGGGCTCCACCGCCCCAGCGAGACTTTCCAGCTCCAGGTCGGAGAGGAAGCCTCGCAGGCCGCGCGCCTCCAGGTACTTGAGGAACTCCTGTCGGCCATCCCGGAGGAGCGCCTCGAGCGCGAGCCGCTGGTCTTCGCTGTAGAGGAACTCCGGTTTAGACTCGTGCGTTCGCGGGTTGACGTTGTTATCGTCCAGGCACCGTAACTGGGACAGAGCCATGTCTCAGACCCAAAGTACTTAACAAGAAACAACTTTAAACACCAAGTTTGACGGGACAGTTCTTCTCCTAGACCTCTCCAGACGTTGGCTAAAGACAGGTGCATAAAAGCGTTTTGACTCCTCTGTGCTTCAAACAGCTGACAACTTTGGCTGTAGACGTTATATACATTATTTTAAAGAGTCCCCTGCTTCGGCCAGGCTCGTAATTCCTGTGACAGGCCATGGTGCGTTAACACTCAGCCATTATCTTTCCTATTACCAACTGAAGAACTTGAGTTCTCCAGAGCGAGTGAGTGACACCCCGCCGGCAGCACCGCCCGACAGGTGTGATCCTGCCAGACAAAACACACCCACCCACCCACAGCCTACTGAAACATGCACGCTTTGTCACGTGGCCTGGGAAGCTTTCCAACAGATCCTCTCTAAGTGTGTTAGAACTGTATTCGTCTGAGTTTGACCAAGGGAAACGAGTGACTACCGAGGCTATCCCTCACTTCTAAACCTGATCAAACCAGGTGCCAGGTGCCCATACAGGTGACATTTAACAGGACCGTAAATAACCTGTGCGGTGCTGTTCTACCTGTTCTGTCATGTGTCCTAACCCTCCCGCCACATTGGGAGAGCGCCAGTCTGTGTTTTTATAAAATGAAACCGATAATGACTTTATAGAAATGCAAAAACAAACTGAAGAGATTATGGGATTAAAGTAATAGTATTTAAAAACATAGCCTGGAGGGAACAGGATGCATATGTTTTAGTTTTCAAAAAATAGGCTCAGTATTTTGGATCTTAAACTGCAAACTACATGTTCACCTACCCAGCACATCCTGACTCTTTATTAGAGCTTCAGCTAAATTCTCAATCTTGTTAATGCCAGTTAAAGTTACACAACACTTCATAATGAAAGCAAAGATACAAGTCTTCACAGGCCCAATCAAACACATAGCCCTCAGCTTTCAATGCAGTTAGACGTCTTTCATGTTTTAATAACAGTAAATTAATTCAGAAGAAAAACATCAATACCTTGATAGTGAGTAGGCTGCAGTGACATGAGGCTGCTTGGCTTGATCTGCAATGATATGCATGGTGCAATCATGTGTCATTAACTGCTCAGGGAGGCAGCAGGAGAAAAAGAGATTACATGGTGACATGGGATTAACTTTGCAGTGGGGGAGTATAGCGTGGTACTTTATCAGTCAGTATGTAAACTGCATATAATAATTTATTCATTTCCTGTGATTAGTTTTGACCAGTGATGTCATCGGCAAGACGCCCAAAGAAGCCCATGGCATGATAACTCTTGTTTACCATGAATCATTCCTGCCGTTTACCAAGAAACCGTGAACGTGCACCGCGTTGACCTTTCCAGCCTTGAAGGAGCACATCAAAGACACATCGCTGTGCAGTCACCTGGTGTCTTGCCAGTCTTCGAGTTGGAGATTCTGGTTAGTAGTTTCTAACTATATTTATGCAGTATTGCTTTTTGTATTTCACTAGCATTCACCTTTTAATTTGACACTTGGTTTTGTTGGCACGAATACAGCCTCACCCACACAAAACCTCTATGATTTCTGAGAAGAAGCATTAAAGAAACTACAGCATCTGCAGGTTGGCTTTAGGAGCTCAGGTATTAAAAAACAGGTGTGGACCAACTGATTTGAAATATTTCCTTGAAGGCTTACAGAAGTAACTTATACTGTGTTTGAACTGACAACAGCACTGCAAAAATGTTTGATGTTTGATGGAGTCTGGCAAAGTAACACAAGACTGTCTGTGCTACAACACAATGAAGCAGATTACTTGCAAGTGCGCATTCCTGGTACATAAGGGTGCACTGGATATCTCTTTACAGTCATGGATATATTACTCAAACTGGTCTGGTGGATTATGTTTCACTGTTTCAACATGCCCACACAAATTCAACACAATTTTTTTTTACATATAGTACTTAAAAAGTGCCTACTTAGAGAGACTAAGAGCAGAGACATGTAAGATTTGATTCTCATAGGCTCTAGTTACTTTATAAGCTTTAGTTATTTTCCTTATTCTAGTTTCCTTTAGTTACTTTTCAGTTCTTCATTTTCTTTTATTTACTGTTCATACCTTTATTTTCCTTGCTTATACATATTAAAACTGTGTTGATGACTGCTGTATTCTACTGAGTGAAACTTTGGAACTGCATGCTATAAATTCTGTAGAGACAGGATGTCTGTATCTCCAAGTAACCAGACGGCCTATTTTACATTTTAACAAAGACCTGTTCGCCTGTTTTGCACCTTGACCTAGACCCACTTAGCATATTCCAAGTTCTGCTTTGTCATGGGGTGTCCTGAGAGACAGGGGGCCTACAACCCGAGATGACCATCTGACCCGTTTAGCATACTTACTAGCATCACGCACACAGGGGGGCCTGCAGCCCAGACCACATATTGTTCAGTGTCCATTGATCAACCTACAACCTGAGAAACACACACACACACACACCTGGTTTAGATCATATTTCAACAAGCAGACGCAGGCAGGGGTTGACCTGCTCACGCCAAATGCCCAAGAGGATTACGAAGTGTGGAATGTTGTACCTCTGTCCAGAACACATAACTCATGGCTCAGAGAACGAATTTCCTGCGGGAGCTCTGTCTCTCTGACTTCAGTGCTGTAAGACTTTACCTGTGCCCAGACTTTGAGTAAACTTTCTGTTGATTTTATACAGTCCTCACCTGTCTTCAATTCTCGCGCTTTTTTAATAAAAGAATTTGGGTAAAATCTAACAGACACACCAAGCCGACGGTCGGGCACTGGTGTGTCCCACACCGTTGGCACTAGTGGGCCTCTGTCTGCGGCTGTTCGGCTGATTTCTAAATGCTGAATTGGCATCAGTCCATCAGGCCTCGTCGATGAGAGAGAGCCCAATCTGGTTGGCCATTGAGCTTAGCAAATCAGTGCACGAGAAGAGAACTGTTTGGGAAAGCTCCTTCAGCTTGTTGCTGTAGTAGCCATGATCTCACCCATTTAGTGCAGTTTCTCCTTGTTTTTCACCACCACAATCTCGTTTCTTCTTCCACAAAAAAAAACTGAGGGCATGGCCAGTGTCATTTGCAACTTTTATCAGACTAGAAGCAGCTGTAAACAGCAGCTGATTTGGACAAGAGGTGCTTTGTTTATAGCTTATAATTCTTCATTCTAGCTCTTCTTCTTTGCCTTTTCGCATGGCAAATACACATACTGCCACCTGCTCATAGGGGGAGTTATTTCTGTCACGCAGGCGCAGAATGTACGTGCTAGTCGGCCGTTGGCTTTAGTCATTGCAGTGTGTTCAAGTGTCACTTTATGAACCCAACTGGTCCAGACACAGCCGGTGCGAGGTGACGCAAAGTTTGGCCTTCGTTGCTGCTAGTTCTTTCATGTTGGCTTGCTGTGTCTCTGCCCTAAGGCCATGCTCAGACTGAGTCACAAAGGTGTGAAAAAATGCAGCCCTCTCCTTTCATTTCTATGGGACGCTGTGTTCGCCATGGCCAGCAGCAGTATTGCAAAACGGCACAGCCCTGTGAGGCAAAAACATTGGATCTGGTTCAACTTTTGCTGCACCAGATGGTGACATGTTAGTTAGGCTTTTGGATGTTAAACGGTGTTTTTATTTGAACAATTCTGGCACAGTGGTGGTAGAAATTGGTGCTAGCATAGAGTAGGCTACTTTAGCAGCATGGCTAACCAAAGCGCAATGGAAACTTACCAGCTGGAAACGTGGATGAGGCCACTCACGTTGGCTTGTCACAATGTGGCCATATCCCCTAGGTGCCTCTAACCCCCAAGAACCCCCCCCCCCCCACCAAAAAAAACAACTTACTGAATCTCTAGCTGGTGTTTGGTGACATCAGCTGCCCATTTCTCACATTTGATTTATTGACTTGCTAACTGTCAATATATAGCTGACTTTCCGATAAGCTATCCCGCTGCTTTAAACAGTGTTCAACTAGTCCGTAAGCTGAGTGTGGCAGCTTTCCCTCTCACTGTCAGGCCCTAAAGAGCCAGAGGTTGTCAGTCAGTCAAACTGGTTGTCGTATTTCATCCTGACACCTGTGAATGACATTAGGTCACAGCTCACATACCTTCCTTCCTTCGCTTGCTTGTTTACTGTCACTCTCATTCTTTGATTTGACAAAATGCTTTCTCACCCTGCCTCTCAATCGCTCATCAGGAATTTTCTTTTCTCCTTTGTTTGGTTGTATCTTGCCATTCCCCATTTTTCACACTAACATTTATTATTTGCTATCCTGTCTCGTTTCTCTGCTATCTCCTAGCTCCACTTCACTTTGGCATTTTTACGTTGTCTCACTTCTAATGTATGACACAAATATGTCATGTGTTGGTCTGTCTCACACACACTCACACACATACACACCCCTACCCTTTATCTACTGCGCACACACTTCAAAGTGACTCAGGAGTTTTGACAAAGAAGTGTAAGAAAACAGTGGAACTATTTCTGGTTACACCTCTAACTGCCTTCTTCTTGTCCCTGCTGGATGCCGCTGGTTATTGACTAACTGTCTTTGGCAGTCCAGAGTTGACTCTGTCAGGAGGAGTGAAAAAAACTGTTTGCTACAAAAACAAGTGAAAGAAGAAAGAACAGAAGTGATTCAGTCCTGAGAAATTATAGCTTGTCACCGTTTCTTGCTTCATTTCAAACACTGCATCCTGAGGATAGAAGCAACGCTGCATTCCTGTCATAGCAGAGCACATTGTGTTATCATCTGTAATGACATATACCGTCTGTCTGCCATCAGCTGAAGTGCTGCTCAGTCGCACATGAAGACGCACTCAGGCGTAATAATACGTTGGCAACAATAATGAGATGATGCTGAGATCTCACCTGGCAGGTGCATAGATTATGATGAGATATTTAAATCTAGCAGGTGGTGTCAGACTAATTCCAGTATTATTACCACACTAATATTGTAACACAGTATTAAATGCACTTCACTGACACTTGGACAGAATTGTGTGTATGGCTGCAAATAAAGCTGGTAATACTTTAGTAATCCCATATTTAACTTGTTACCCAGCAGTAATTCAAATTATAAACATATATGCTGGTTAAAACTAGCTCAGCCTTTACAACATTAACTGTAATGAACACAATACAGTGATGCATCAGTAATTATAATCAAATCATATGATATACTGTACATTAATGTTAAATGTGCCCTTCTGCATAATGATTACTTTTACTGTTTTTGACATTTGGCACCTTATGCAATTCAAATGTGTTCTATACGATTAACCTGCATTTTGTGGCACAAAGTAAGTATCAAATTGCAATTTAGACATAAAATTTAATGGCATTTTGTGTATGAAATGCATCACAAAAGGAAACTTTATGAGCAAAACGCGGCTGAGCTGTTACATGACTTTAAGTGGAACTACCTTTGTATCAGTATTTCTGGTTATTAATGTATTTATTTCACAGATTTAGGCCTCTTTCACAGTGTTAGTGGTTTTTACTGTACCCTGTATTATATTTCAATAGACATTCATGTAACACAATGTAAATGTTACTGAGCAATAATGTCAGAGCTTAAAGTTCAAATAGGTAAATGTTTCACTTTATTTAACTGATTTGTCATTACAGGTTAAGGAAGACCAATCCAAGTTCTTACTGATAATCACATAAATGTGCTTTTCATAAACTATTAGTTGCAACAGAAGCAAAATCCATATTCAGTGTTTAACCTTGTATAAGTATTCTAAGATTACACATGAATAAGAATAAATACATAGAAACAAACAAATGAGCCATAAATTGAGTTGAGCATATTACATTTTACACCGAGAGCATCTGAGACGTGCTCACCTCACTGGTCACTGGAACCCAGTCACCTCCTTTAATGGTTCGCATAGTGCAGGGCTACACGCACACACACCAGCCCCACTGATCATGCTGTGTCAGTACCCTCAGAGTATCTGGCCCAAATGTTCACCATACAATGACTCTCTGTGTCTCTCGGCTCAGCTCACCGGATCCTGTCATTGGAACGGCAACAAAATACTGGAGCAAATCCTGACTCATCAACAGCAGAGAACACTCTACCCTTCAGCCACAAGTTCCCGTGGACCACTTGTGTTTTCTTCATCAGGTTAATGTGAGTGTGTATGTTGCTTTGAAATAGCCTGCACCAATGCTGATAAGCATAAATGATTGTGTATGTTTGTGTATATGTGTGTGAGTTCTCCACAGTGTACAGGTCCATAACTAGATTTTCTTTTTACATGTTTAAAGAGAAGAGGAGCTGTGGGGTTAGGTGGCAGCGACTGATGGGCCTGTAGCAGCTGATTTGGCGAGGCTTGTGATTGACTTGTTACATGGCAGGGACATGGGAGGAGTCAGTTACATTACAAGCTCATCGGTCATCTGCTCCAAAAAGTAAGTGCAGAGCAGGGGGAGCAGTGTGAGGGACGAGGTCAGTACGGCTCATCGATGAACCCGTGGGAATGGCCGTGTGTTGGATTGACATGTCAGGTCACTGGCAGTTGTAAATAGGCTGGACGTACTCGGGGGGGAAGTAGCCCACGTGTCCATGGCAACGGCCCCTCCAGCGCTGCGAATCGGAGCAGTCAATGAGCTCGATGACATCACCGCGCAGGAAGCGTAGCTGGGAGGGGTGGTGGGGGTTGAAGTCGAAGAGAGCGTGCGCGTGATGGGTACGCTGTGGAAGAGAAGAAGAAATAGGAGGAGTGGGGAGAGGAAAGGAAGAGAAAGTTAATGAAAACCTCACGACTTTGGATGCAGTCTGTCTAAACAGAACTGGACTCAACTCTTCACTTGAAGTTACAATTCTTAAAAGTTTCTTGAAATGAAACCAGATTTTTGATCCTGTTTATAGTCATTGTCGGTTTTTTTCTGCCAAAGCCACGCTATACTGCGTAATGACCTCTTCCTTCACGAGTCCACCAGTCCCACACTGGGTTCTAATGGCCTTAACACAGCACGTATCCAGTGTTACTCTTTTTAATTCCACCTCGCTGGTATCAGCCTCACTGCTACTGTTCACCCTCCTAATGCAATGTTAGAGCTCTGTTAAGTGGCTTTTATTATGAAGCCCAGGAAATGCACTGTATTTGTTACTGAGGTCATTCACAAAAGTTGTCATTTACATCATTTTAGTTTTGACAGCAGATCGGTTTCAAGAACTGCAGGGGCTAGTGAGTCATTAGACGAACTCCTCCGCTGCTTTATCCTGACCTTCTGTGTGTAGAACTACTCCGGTCACGTGTAGCATTCAATCATTTGACAGTTTTCCATGGCATGATAGAAAAAGCCCAGTTATTGACTGACTCCTTCAAACAGCAGGTGCAAGATGTGTAGTAATTAGCTCCAACTGACCACGATTTGTCTGTGCTGCCTTTTTCACCACACTCCCTGTCACACCCACAACAGGATGATCTTTCTGAACTAAAGCAGGTCATTAGTCAGTCATCAACGCTCAGCCGTTCAAAGGCCTAATGCATGAGAGCATTTCATATCCTATAATGACTGACTTAACGTATTATTGTAAGCCCTTTCTATTGAAGAATCGCATGATTCTCAGACTCCCCACTGAATGAACTCAAAAAGTCATCTTGGTCAACAGTGTTGTTTTTCTTTGGTCCTGAAAAGGTTTACAGATTAAATTCAACGCCCATGATACAGCGACTGCGTGGCATTTCTTTGAAGCGTTGCTCTTTTTACATCTACTGCTGTATTAAAACAAAACATAAAGTATTTTTGGCAACGCCACAAGAAATAGGAATACCTAAAGTTGCGCTCCAGGGGCTTCGGTTTTCAATGCATTTACAAAAAGCAGCCTGTGTGTCTGCTTAATAAAGAATGCATTCTGTGTTTCTATGTAAAGCACAAATATATTTTATTCATCATTTTCATGTAACATTTATTTAGCCAGACCAAGGTCAGTCCGACTATTCATGTTAAATATTAATTCGACGTGAGAGACAAGGCAGTAGCAGCTAACAGACAAGAATAAAGACATGAAAGCAAATACCGTGCTGAATGACATTATTATCTACTGAATGATCTGCAGTTTGTGGTAAACATCGTTGCTGCACAAGCTGCCGGCTGAACACATTTGAAAGGTTGACATGTGCAGGTGACGGCCAGGTTATATATAGTTCAGATATAAGATGACGGATTTCAAGCAGAGGAGGTAAATTGCCTGGAGTCTGAATATGCAACACAAACTGACACCTTGTTTATATTTACATCTGATTTACATCTTTAAATCTACAATTGGCATTTGGACACACTCCCTTTCTCGACATGATATTATAAAATTTGACGTCAGGGAACTTCTCCTGTGTTTGTATCTACCATAACCTTTAATTTCAGTGTTTCCTTATCTGGCAACAGAAGTTAATTTTGTTTAAACAGGGTAAATCTTGTTGCAATTGTAGTTTAAGTTGGTAAATAGGATGTATTTATACTTCATAAAACCTTCAGTATGGGGATCTAACTTCATGAAACGTGAAAACCAGGCTGCACAGCTGTTCTCCTCGTTGCACATTATCTGGCTTCACGTGGGCTTTATCGGGCTAAAGCGGCTTTAAACAGAATAAATAACAAAACTGTAATTTGTGGAGGTCATGAGAGAAAAGATGAGAGCGCATACCTATACATACACACCTACTAAAATCTATTTTGTCTAGCTGTGATGTTCAACAGCAGGATAAACCGCTTTCAGATCATCTCTGCAGATGCTGTGCTTTCTGTGTCTCGCAGGGTTTTTCTTTGACTTCACAGAAGTAGTGTTTTTCTCCTCCCTGATAGCCAGCCTCCTCTGATCTCTGTTGACACGCCAAGTAAAACCAGTTTAAGAGTAGCAGAATAAAAGCGGCTATTTTAAGGAGAACGTCTTGAACTTCACTCACCTCTTAGCTGTCAGTTGCATTACCACAGAGAGAAATGGATGCGATAAGAACTGGGAGGGAGCTGAGAGACTAAAAGGAATACCAATATTGCTTTTTTAATGTATGTGTGGATGTAGGTGTCCGTGTTGCGATTCTGGGCCTTATTGCTGTGGACTGCTGTGTTTTAGCACAAGCCATTCGTGCAGAGGCAGGCACAATCACAACAAGTACTCAGAAACCAGACTGCAAGATTAGGATCAACAGACAGAGGAGATCTATCAGCCCCACAGATCTGTAAAATCCTCGCAGTCTTGCCCTGTATTGTTCCCTGGATCTAGTTTGTGTGTTTATCCGCACACGCTCTACCTGAGTGTTTGGGTGTGAGCAAGCGTGTGTGTGCAGGCCTCTCTTTGCTTAGGTTGCAAATGCAATGCTGCAGCTTCTGTGTGTACAGTATGCATGTGTGTGTGACAGCCCACAGAGAATGCCTTCTTTTTTTGTGAGGAGCGACAGTTTGGTCTGTCCGTTTAGGCTGCGCTCCGCTGCTCTGTGATGAGCATCCTCTCTGTGGCAGTGGAACTCTGTAATGTAAATGGGCCACAGCTTTGTACTGGAGTGGTCTTTACACACACACACATTACAGGGCATTTAAGGCCCAAAGACACTGCCTCTGTTTCCACTTGAAAATGACAAGGTGTAAAAACAGGTGAGGTTTTGTAGGAACTGGCCTTTTGTTTGTAGAGAAAGCTTAAATACACAAGGACATTAGGGATGTGTTGGGGAAAATACGCAGAGAACTCTGCCATCCTGCTATCATGAGATAAGAAGCAGTGTAGGGCCACGTAATGAGCTGATGTAGAATTAGTCTGGAAAGACAACACAAAATAGAACTTGGTGCACAGACTCAAATTAAACCAAACCTCAGCAGTTTTAGTTCATGTCTGTGAAACTGACTCATATGGTGAAAAAACAGAAGCTGAAATCATGTGGTTGAGGTCAACATGATGTCTCTATAACCTTGTTTTTATGTACTCATTTCCTAATCTAAAGGTCTAAAGGGAGCGATGTGAGATCTACGTTTTCCTCGTATTTCTGTGCTTTTAGTGTTGCTGTCTAAAAGCTGAGTAAAAGGAGCGGTTTGCTGGTAACTGAAGACATGGGTGTGCTATGAATATTTTACAAAGTATACACAGCAAGGTTACAAAGGCAGCTGCTGGAGGAATTGGTGGGAATTTAGGTCTAATACTGCATCTTGTGTTATCTCTGACTTCATAATGTCTGTAAGTGAAGATGGAGTCTCATGCAGTGGGCATGAAGATCAGCTCAGGGTAAATTTACATAACATGTAAAAAAAAAACAGTTTTGTGCTGAGTGTAATGTTTCTGATGTGTTTTTAATCTACAGACCTGATTACACTGTACACAAAGACCACTGACATTACAAATCAACATGATCTGCTAACAGAAGAAGCCTAAGCAGAAAAGGTAGAATGGAATTTATATGCTCTTGTCTTTTTGTTCTTTTGTTCTGCTGGCAGAATAAAGCTGAAGATGAAACAGGCTTAGGTTCCCCCGCATGTGAGGAGTTTCAGTTTTCAGTTTTGACAGTGGGTTTGTATTTGCAAAATGCGTGAGAAGGCTGCTTGTTACCAGTGCTGCTATACTTGAGTCCAAGAGTCCTGAGAATCAGGACTGGTGAATCAACGTGCACTGATGACCTGGACTTGGACTTACACTCCATCACTGACTGCATTTGGACTGGGAAATTGGAGAGAAAGCGCTGACTTTTTTTTGTAATAGGCCATAATAACCTGGCATAAGATCTTGGCAGCTGTTTTGATAAACTATAATAATAGTAAACTCGTAGCGATATCCAGAACGTCTCAGTTTCCAGTATCTTAGATATGAAGGCGTTCCTGTTTCTCTGACTGATGCCATTTTGGGCTTTCAACTGACATTTTAAACTACTTTCAGTTTCCAGACAAATAGTCGGTTAATTGAGAAAAGAATCTTCTGATTGATTGACAATGAAAGCTGTAAAGTTGTGGGTGGAATCGTTAAGTGACATTTTTTTAACCATATTGTCCAAATGACTGAAAAGACCTTGTATATATAAATACCTATGTATTCATGGAGGGTGCAGAACAAAATGACTAAATCACAGTAACATTAAAATATAAAGGGAAAAAATGGAGTATAAACTTAAAAAATCTATCATTCTGTTAAAGTCTTCAATTTCTTCTATACAAGCAGTAAACACCTATGAAACAGGAAACTAATGTAGCATCTGTTCTTCCTGAGTTTGTCAGAACTCAGATCAGTAGATCCAGTGACAGCAGCGGGAGAGTAAACAGACTTTTACAGAATAATCAGCAATATGAGCAGATGGTTATTATGCCACTGTTATGCTATTATTAGCATAAGGTTAAAAGTGCAGCTACGTACTGTATGAACACTAAAAAATAAAATTCTCAGAAAGCCAAAATGCTCATAAAGATCTGGTGCTAGTTACTCACATTAAAGACATTTAATGTAACAGTATTTCGGTCATACCATTTCTTACTCTCCCACGGGGCCGCAGTCATTATCTTTGGTTTAACTACCACATAACACCCTACAGCTAAAATCTTCCCTGGCACCTGCTCTAGCTGCTTTGTGCCGAGGACTGAGCAGCATCCCCAGTTAGTTGGAATGTGCATCAAACTGTTTTTAACAAGAGCAACACTATTTTGAGGATGAAGAGCTGTCATCCTCACTTGTCTGAAAGTCCGCTGCTCTGCCAGGAGAAATACAGGACCGGTCTGCTTGCAGTAACCTCACCTGAGTCATACAATTAAGTTTATGAAACCTCCAGAAACTTCTGGTTTTTGCTGCCACACTCATCTCTGCTACACTTATGAGTGTATGAAGAGAAAGAGTAAAAACAGAGCCTTATATCTGATGGACCAGGTTTATTGTAGTGAAGCTCATACACTACTACTACTACTACTACTACTACTACTACTGCTGCTCTACTTTCGGTTGTTCCCGTTGCCACAGCGAATCCGATTCGCATGAGTAAATTGGGCACGTTTTTACGCCGGATGCCCTTCCTGACACAACCCTCTCTGTTTATCTGGACTTGGGACCGGCATAGAAGTAACTGGTGTGAAACCCCTGTGGTGAGATACACGAAGCTCACACATCACAAAGATCCTAAGATAGTTGCAGGCTTATGAAGACAATACACAGTTTGATTTTCTTCAAGTGCCACGTGTGGGCATGAACCTATTTAAATTATTTTACTGATATTTTGTTATACATTTTTGTTCTTTTAGAATTGATACACTATCAATCTCCTGTATGCTTCATGGTTTCTTTAAAATCCATGAGTATACCCCAGCTATGCTACACTAAGCTAATATTAATAGCCCATGATTTTACTGGTTTTATTTCTGTTTTGTTTTGGTAGAGACTTATTACTGCAGTCGTTTTGCTTTTAACTAGAAGCAGATTACAATGTAAAAACATGTACAGGAGAATACATGTGCATGAGGGTTTGTGTCTTTTCCTCCAACAGCACTGACTCATTTGCCACTAACCTCACTTCCTCTCTGATCTCTTCAAAAATACCACGAAACAACAGTAGCTGGCTTGTTCTACTTCACATCGATGTGAACAACATTGTAACAGTGGAACATTTTTTTCAACATGAAAATGCACCCCCCCTCATTGTTTACAGTTTTTGACCACATTAATAAAGTTTGAAACTCTACATATGATTTCAATTAATATCAAACAGAGAGAATTGGAGGAGAGTTGAAAAACTGGCAGCCGTGTCGCTCTAGACCACAGTGGTCATATGAGATTGTGACATATTAACCTTGTTAAGTATTTTACGAGTGCACCAGACACCACAGATAATGAGTAATGTAACCTAAATGCACCTGGTCACATCCTGTTAATCCTCAACATGAGCACGCTAGGAAGCAATAGACTTATTGTATGTCAGTAACTTATGAGCAGTGTCATTGCCATCCCCACTGGGCAAAATTAAAATTAGCTCTTGTGTGGGAATGAGTATGTCTCTGGGAAAGAGCCTACTTAACAGTTCTTTCCTGAACAAATTAAAGTTAAGCACTTGGCTTCTTCTCAGCTGAGTATGATTGAATCTCCACTCTGCAGTCTGGAGTCAAGTGACTACGGTTTCGGGAAGAGTGGGTCTTCCCTTTGAATTAAAGCTCTGGAGCATAATAAATTATGTTTTACATTCTTGGCAGGAGCAAGAGATGTGTACACAGAGCTGCCCCCTTTTCACTACAGTAACAGATATCCCAAAAATAAACAGATTAAATGCTGGAGGAACATGAGCTGACAAGACTAAACTGTATTTAGGTTCATGTTCCATTCAGCTCATAACATCAGCATGTTCACATGACTCACAGTGACAATGCTAACATGCTGATGTCCAGCAGATTTACAGTGGTCACCATCTTAGTTTAGCATGTTAGCATGCTTAGCTTTGCTGGTGTTTCATCATAAACCACACAGCTGGGGTTACGGTGCTGTAATGTCAGGACCTCTGTGGATCACAGCGATCACGTTCACCTGCGGGTGCGGTTTGCCAGTAGTAAATTGCCATGCAATGTGATCTGGTCTGCATAATGAGTTCACAGTAACAATAACAGCTTCTCCCTTGGTGACACCATGGGAATGGGAATGACCTGTCATTTCCTCTCGCTGATGACTAGTTTTACTGTTTTAGGCTGATCTACATATTAGTATAATCAAGTATATTGTTAGTGAGTTATCCTAGCTGTCACATATCAGTTAAGCTCATAATGTATGTGTCTGACCTATACAAAGAAGCTGGAATAAACACAAAAAACTAAATTAATGTTCTGTCCTGGCTTGATTGAAAGGGAGTCTGAATCATGACTCATGTAAATAGCTGCCTTTAAAATATGTTTTCTTGTGTTCACTCCCTCTGGCTCGATGCCTGAGATGACGGATCTGGTTCTGCTCCAAATCAACAGCAGCCCTGTGATCGTTCATTACAAGCTGCACCTCTACAGTATGTCAAACCCTGCTGCCACAGTCACAGCTCCAGAAATTTCCTCAACACATGGAGTTTTCCCATAGCTGTCAGCTCCATTAAAAACTGGTTATGCTTTCAAGAAACTGTGAGATGAAATATGATCACCTGGGTAACTTGTTATGTACTGGTTTTACAACAGATACACAGCATACACCCCAACATGCTGTTTCACTGTGTCTTACTCTCATCAGACACTTAGCGTAGGTAGAAGAGGCGAGTGGATGGAGAGAGAGACTGATGATGACAAGAACAAATGTGTTTTAAACAGTTTGGAGAAGAGAAAATAGTGCTACGCAGTGGATATTTAGGTGATATCTTGGGAAGTGAGTCAGTAAGAGCTGGAGGAAACAGCACGTCCCACTGATTTGTAGTGTGCACAATAAGACGTAAGAAATTCAAATAATAGATTAAAAACTGTGCCTTGAGTTAAAAGCCATTTTAGGTGGAAATAGTTAATGCAGTAAAAAAAAATCTAAAAAAATTTGTAAAGATAAGGAAATTAGAATTTTGTGGTCAGTATTGTTGTTAATTCAACTTATCATTATTGTTTCATACAGTATATATAAATAAAAGTATACTTTAATTTGGAAAAAACTGTGAAAGGGTTGTTGGTAATTATTAGGGTTGAAACTTAACACACTTAAAAGTTCATTATTTGGCTCATTTGCTTTGGTTGATGTGGTAAAACGTCAAGGTGTAAGGTGTTGATAGGTGTGATAAGTGCAGATAAACTGCATTAAAAAAGAAAGAAAACCATACAAGGAGTCACATGCTCACCCTGGCGAAATGTTCAGGGTCTCTCAGAAAGACTGTCCTCTCCTTAGCGATGCTGTTGCTACGGTAAAAGTCCACCAGCTCATTCAGGGAGGAGAAGAGCTCGTCCCACACGTAGTACTGACCACAGCGATCCTGCAGCACCTTGAAATGCTGCACATGATCCCCATAACTGTAAAATAAAGAAACAGAGAGGTTAATTACCTGAACAGAGCATTATGTGTGCTGCCTCATGAATCTATATAGGTTCAGAGACCAATCAGTAAACAAGAAGTTTACCCCTCATCCAAATTCTTCAAATAATCTCTGGTATTGTTTATATAAAATATATTGTAATTCTGCCATTTTCTGTCACAATCTATTTAGAAACATTTGGGGTTTTTTTTGTAGTTACCACGTTTATCTGATAAAAAACTAAAGTGCCATGTCATAAGTGTGTTGTTCCTGAATAGCAACAGTGGCAAATAATACAGTCCAACAGCATCGGGTCTTCCCCGCGTCCAGTCTCAGATTGCTGTGTGTCTTCACAAATTGCATTTTGCATACAATAAATGTGGGACTACTTGGCGCTGATGGCAACAGCCTTGGCCCTCTGGTCCTCACAGACGCCCCTTTAACTCCACAGCTGTCAGCTGCTGTGGCTGGCATGCATTCACTGTCATCCTGTTCATTAGTCTCCTCAAAAAACACTGGAGTCACTGTTTATTTCCATGTTATTTTAATTTGATTTTAGGCTATCTTTTCTTAACAAAGTAGAGCAAGTCCACAGAAGAATCCCTGGTCAGAACATGTGAGGAGACAACACTAAAAGAGACACAACAGCTTCTATTCATAAAGAGAAACCCAGATTAATGCAAAATCTAAATCAATATAAGTAGAGAAGGGAGCCTTATTAGTGTGTGTGAATCACATTTTGGAATTAAAAGAACAAGACAGCGACATTTAACTGGGCTGCTCTGTGGGTCTGGGATATTCTGTGCAAAGCAGATGATAATATTAAACATAAAAACCCATTTAAATGTGCATTCATCTAAAAAGAAATTATATTTCACCCATTGTAATGTATTAGAAAATGATAGAAAAGGTTGGTGGATAAACAACTGATTTAGTGTAGTAATAAAATCATGATAAAGCCAAGGGCACAGACAGAAATAGCCACAGTGTTGGAGTGCATGTCTTGTTGTTATGATTAAAAGAGTTTGGCCCGTATTCACTGGCAATCATACTTGATCCCCTATCCTACTATGTGGTGGTTGCTAAGTAACTTGCCAGCTTATCTTTAGAGATCTGGACATCTCACCACGATCGTATTGTTATATAACTGTATCAAATATGCAGCAGAAGTCAATATTACACTCCCCTATTTCTAACACACTGTAGAGTAGGTGTGTGTGTTAGGCTTATGTTAACGATAAAATTCATAATGTTTTGGGGAAAAAAACACAATTCAGAAATGGAGAAAACCAGTATTAAGGCCCTCCTAATCCTTTTTGTTTTTTACACAGTATGGCATTTATGGTTTAAACTCCTCCTCTGTGTAGTCTGACTGACACTGACCCAAGTGGATGAGCATCGGCTTGTTCCTCCCAGAATTCCTTTCTCTGTTCAGATGGGGAGCTCTGAACAAGCAGGACTGACTCCCCCATGACTGGATGGCATTCACTTCCACCCTGCCCTTTCTCTGCCTTCTCTGGTTCACTCCATGTCCTCATTTCTCTTTTCTCACCCTCTGTCAGTCTCCCAAAGATGATGAAACTGTAGGCAGTCAATTCGAACCAAATGCAAATATTTTGGATTAACACTTCACTCGGCTTTTATAGTTTCTGAATGTTTGCTTGTGCTGTCTGTCTTTTTTTTTTCTGGTGCTTTGCCTGTGCGTCTGGATTCCTCTTTGCATTGCTCTTTTCTTCTGTATTATTTAAATGTTTCCACTCTACTGCAGTTCCTCTTGTTATTTGCACCTCTGTGTCTCCATTCGTACTTTTGATTCAGAAATATCCCTCCGCTGACTTAAACACACACAAAATAAAATTGTGATCTTCTGTGTGAATGATCTCACCGCTGTCCCTAGTTGTCTGTCGCCCTCTGCTGCACCCTTCTGGTGGGGCTGTGTTACTGCTGCCTGAGTGAGGCAAAGCATGGGCCAGTGCCCTCACCGGATGACAAAGAAATAATATGCAACGGTGAAACTGTGAAAGGCACAGGGAGGAGTAGAGATTAAAGACAGGATGTGGGCAGGGCAATGGCTTTCCCTTTAGGGGATTCACAACAATGTAATGCAAAATGAAATGTGAGGTACTAAGGAGGAAGGAAAGGAGAAACAAAACATCATTTTAAGTTGCGCTGTAGCCTGTTCACATTTTTCCTGAAGGTGTCAGGCAATTAAATTGAGTAACATTTCTTGTTTGTTTGTTTGGGGTTAGTTAAAAAAGCAAACAGTTCAAGCCTAACATCAGTGTTTTTGTCATCTCTTTCTAACAAAAATGATTCAAATCAGAAAATATGAATATGACACAATTTTACAGCAGCACATTTCTGAGCGATTAGACCTGTTTTGTGGCAGAGATTTTTTATTTTATCTTATGGCAGTCTGCAGACATATCCCTAAGAAAACTCGACTATGTTATTGTACTAGAAAACTGTTTGAGAGACAAAAGCCAGTCAGGAATCTCTCATCTCACCAAAAGAATCAAACCCTAAATCCTGCAGCTTCTCCACACAGCTGACCAGAATCCAATATTTATTAAGCAACACATCACATCGTAACTCTCAATTTGCCAAAACACTCCTCCACCTTTGAGTGATGAAGCACAAATGAAACTAAAAAGCACACAACTTTAAATTACAGATAAGTTACAGATTTCTCTGAACTATGACATGTATTGCAGCATACACTCACCGACCACTCTATTAGGTACACCAGTACAATTACATGCACTTCAATGCAACACTAGTCCAGTACAACACCACCTTTAACTATGACCTTTAATTGAATTTATACATTCATGACAGTTTCACTAAAAGGTTTTAACATTTTGAGCTTCATAAACACAAATGTTAAGGCAGACGTGTTGCACTGAAGTGTACAGGTGTGCCTATTAAAGTGGCTGGTCAGTGTAGTTCATGTACAGTATCACCTCCTGCATGCCTGTATTAGGTCATTTGAACAGTGGCAAATTGGTAATAGTTTTTTTTAAAACTGTAGCCTATTTAACTTTTGCTTATATTGGGTATAAAGGTAAAAAATAAGTTGTTTTAAAGACTTGGAGAAAAAGCACAGTAGCTGTACTGTAACTGAACTGAAGGGGACCAAACCTTTGATTGATAGTACAGCTATTTCAGTGTTAGGTGATAGCATATTGAAGATTTTATCAGTTGTTGCTCAGAAACATTAGAGGGCCAGTGTGCATAACACAGACGGCATCTGTCTCAGCTCCTTCACACACACACACATACAGTAGCTACACACTCTCCAAGTGCCCGCTCATCTCCCTGATCCAGTTTAATTAGGGCCCACAGCGATAAAGAGATTATGTTCTTTTTCCAAGTAAAAGGAAACAAGAGAGAGATTAACAGTGAATGAAAGTGAGAAAGCTTGAAAGAGAGAAAATGAACTAGATGTAGAGATAGAACACAGAGAGATATAGTGTAGATGAGGACAGAAGTATTTTCTAAACTTTTACTCTCCACCAGCGCAATTCAAGAGGCATGAAGGTCACCTCTCTGTCTTTTTCAACTTCCTCAGTCAATCTGTTCTCACTTCCCTGTTCTCGCTCTCATTCTGCCAGCATCCCCCCCCTACCTTCTCTAATCTGCTGTTCAGTTTCCAAGAGGAGCATCGGCTTGTTCCTCCCAGAATTCCTTTCTCTGTTCAGATGGGGAGCTCTGAACAAGCAGGACTGACTCCCCCATGACTGGATGGCATTCACTTCCACCCTGCCCTTTCTCTGCCTTCTCTGGTTCACTCCATGTCCTCATTTCTCTTTTCTCACCCTCTGTCAGTCTCCCAAAGATGATGAAACTGTAGGCAGTCAATTCGAACCAAATGCAAATATTTTGGATTAACACTTCACTCGGCTTTTATAGTTTCTGAATGTTTGCTTGTGCTGTCTGTCTTTTTTTTTTCTGGTGCTTTGCCTGTGCGTCTGGATTCCTCTTTGCATTGCTCTTTTCTTCTGTATTATTTAAATGTTTCCACTCTACTGCAGTTCCTCTTGTTATTTGCACCTCTGTGTCTCCATTCGTACTTTTGATTCAGAAATATCCCTCCGCTGACTTAAACACACACAAAATAAAATTGTGATCTTCTGTGTGAATGATCTCACCGCTGTCCCTAGTTGTCTGTCGCCCTCTGCTGCACCCTTCTGGTGGGGCTGTGTTACTGCTGCCTGAGTGAGGCAAAGCATGGGCCAGTGCCCTCACCGGATGACAAAGAAATAATATGCAACGGTGAAACTGTGAAAGGCACAGGGAGGAGTAGAGATTAAAGACAGGATGTGGGCAGGGCAATGGCTTTCCCTTTAGGGGATTCACAACAATGTAATGCAAAATGAAATGTGAGGTACTAAGGAGGAAGGAAAGGAGAAACAAAACATCATTTTAAGTTGCGCTGTAGCCTGTTCACATTTTTCCTGAAGGTGTCAGGCAATTAAATTGAGTAACATTTCTTGTTTGTTTGTTTGGGGTTAGTTAAAAAAGCAAACAGTTCAAGCCTAACATCAGTGTTTTTGTCATCTCTTTCTAACAAAAATGATTCAAATCAGAAAATATGAATATGACACAATTTTACAGCAGCACATTTCTGAGCGATTAGACCTGTTTTGTGGCAGAGATTTTTTATTTTATCTTATGGCAGTCTGCAGACATATCCCTAAGAAAACTCGACTATGTTATTGTACTAGAAAACTGTTTGAGAGACAAAAGCCAGTCAGGAATCTCTCATCTCACCAAAAGAATCAAACCCTAAATCCTGCAGCTTCTCCACACAGCTGACCAGAATCCAATATTTATTAAGCAACACATCACATCGTAACTCTCAATTTGCCAAAACACTCCTCCACCTTTGAGTGATGAAGCACAAATGAAACTAAAAAGCACACAACTTTAAATTACAGATAAGTTACAGATTTCTCTGAACTATGACATGTATTGCAGCATACACTCACCGACCACTCTATTAGGTACACCAGTACAATTACATGCACTTCAATGCAACACTAGTCCAGTACAACACCACCTTTAACTATGACCTTTAATTGAATTTATACATTCATGACAGTTTCACTAAAAGGTTTTAACATTTTGAGCTTCATAAACACAAATGTTAAGGCAGACGTGTTGCACTGAAGTGTACAGGTGTGCCTATTAAAGTGGCTGGTCAGTGTAGTTCATGTACAGTATCACCTCCTGCATGCCTGTATTAGGTCATTTGAACAGTGGCAAATTGGTAATAGTTTTTTTTAAAACTGTAGCCTATTTAACTTTTGCTTATATTGGGTATAAAGGTAAAAAATAAGTTGTTTTAAAGACTTGGAGAAAAAGCACAGTAGCTGTACTGTAACTGAACTGAAGGGGACCAAACCTTTGATTGATAGTACAGCTATTTCAGTGTTAGGTGATAGCATATTGAAGATTTTATCAGTTGTTGCTCAGAAACATTAGAGGGCCAGTGTGCATAACACAGACGGCATCTGTCTCAGCTCCTTCACACACACACACACATACAGTAGCTACACACTCTCCAAGTGCCCGCTCATCTCCCTGATCCAGTTTAATTAGGGCCCACAGCGATAAAGAGATTATGTTCTTTTTCCAAGTAAAAGGAAACAAGAGAGAGATTAACAGTGAATGAAAGTGAGAAAGCTTGAAAGAGAGAAAATGAACTAGATGTAGAGATAGAACACAGAGAGATATAGTGTAGATGAGGACAGAAGTATTTTCTAAACTTTTACTCTCCACCAGCGCAATTCAAGAGGCATGAAGGTCACCTCTCTGTCTTTTTCAACTTCCTCAGTCAATCTGTTCTCACTTCCCTGTTCTCGCTCTCATTCTGCCAGCATCCCCCCCCTACCTTCTCTAATCTGCTGTTCAGTTTCCAAACTGCTGCAGATGTCTGGCACTCTTCAGACAAACAGCTCCAGCTGTCAGTGTAACTCTGTTTCTGTGCATCTGTGTGTCTGTGGCTATACCAGTCCACCAGGTTTTCAATGGTTAGGATACTACAAATTTTACCAAAGGTGTCTTTTTAGGGATATTTTCAAATCCCTCCAGCACTTTTGTTTACTTCCTCATCATATGCAAACACCTTTGAATGTTAGCTTATTTGGTCTCTTGCTGAGCATTAGGTTGTACCATTTCTCATGTCTGTACAGTAAATGTGAAGGTATAGCCAGCAGCTGGTTAGCTTAGCTTAGCACAAAAACTGGTATGGAAACATCCAGGCTGGCTCTAATAAGTGAGCTTTAGAGATGCTAACCCATGCTAACTGGCTACTGGCTGTATAGGTGCACATGTTTTGTTGGACAATATTTTCTGTGGCAAAAATGTTGAGTGGACACAAGGTATGGTTTAAATATATCTGCTGGAGTGTGTTTATAGCCAGAGGGGAAGTGAGGGATAGTCATAATACCATGAACCAGTGCTAGGTGGTGGCTAAAGTTACAGTTTTTTAAACAGTGATAATCTCAAGGCACCTGGACTGATCTCCCTGAATAACAAGAGTGAGCACATAGAGCTGGAGACATGTCACAGTATAGGCACAAAGCTGTTAACACACATCTGGCATCTGGCTAAGAAAAACCAAATCAAACCAGCAAAGAACAAGTCTTTTGTTCTACGTATCCTCTGTTTGATAAAAGACATGAGAGGCAAAAAGCCAAGTGTGTGTGTGATTGTATGTGTGTGCGTGATTGTATGCGTGGGATGACCACCACACTGTTCAAATAAAAATGTGGCTTAGCTGTGGTGAAGCAAACGTGTCACACAAGACATCTAACAATCAACAAGAAAGTGAGGTCTGCTCTTACAGATTGATGGAAAAACAATTACATGTGGTGCTGTTTCACTGAGAAAACGTAACCTTGATGAACAAATTGACAACACTTCTGCACCTGTAAGCATTGTATTGTAACTATTGAAATTGTTTTTTGTCTCAGCTTCCCCTCTACATACAATATCTGCTTTGCTGCAGTTGCTCATTTCCTGCAGTGTCGTTTGATGAATCAGACAGAGAATGTGCACATATGTAGATACAGCTGTGTAGTCAACATGTAGGTGGAGGGAGTGAAATTGATAGAGATTGTTACAATAAATGTGGGATATAAATCTAAATATGGAAGTGACATTTTCCAGTTGAGAAAAAATGAAAGTTATCTCTCTCTGCAAGAATCTGAAAAATACCACCAACAAAATGGGAGCACGCATACAACACGCTGACAAGGTCCCACATTCTTTTTCAAAATTAGCTGATTTGACAGCAGTGTGAAAAACTCAGAATAGACAAAATATATCATTTGGATTTATCTGCTGCTGAGTCAGAGATGACTGCGAAAGTCCAGCTAAGCAAAATGGATTGCTCAATTCTTTATGTAAAAGTCTAGGTTGTCATCACAATTGCACCACTTTCCAAAAATAAACTACTAAATAACCCCCTGGGACAGTGTTACTGACATAGTCTGAAGCTCATCCCTGCCACATATCCTTTCATAACCACCTTTCACAAAGTCTTTTAAACATTGCGATGTTCAGAAATGCACTGATTTGTTTTAATTTGTTCAGGAGTTGCATTTCTGGTTAATATGATATGCATCAGAAAACAAAAGGTAAAAGCAATGATTCTTCGTCTCCTAACCAGCAAGTTGGTGCTTCGACTCCCGGTCTCCCCGCATGCCTAAGTGTCCCTGAGCAAGACACTGAACCCCGAATTGCTCCCGGTGGCTTGACTAGCGCCGTTGTGTGGCAGCCTGTCGTCATCGGTGTGTGAATGGGTGAATGGTGTATAATCTCCTGTAAAGCGCTTTGGCCAGTGCAACACACTGTGGCAAAATGCGCTATATAAAAACAGTCCATTTACCATTTAGGACAAATGATTTTGAACCATAGTGCCTCTAGTACTGCAGAGTGAAAATTTAAACATCACTGTCAACAATTAAAATCCATTTATAAAAGTAATAAAGGATCAGGTTAAAAAAAGACAAGCTGTCAAATATAGCAAACGAAATATACAAAACATAAAGAAGCGATGATGCATTTAAAGAGCTTGATTCCAAACTGCTGGTTTAAAACTATTTAATATTTTAATCTCACACCACATTCATGTTGTCCCTCAGTTTCTAATTTCACCAGCAGTTTTTTCACCCCGGAAAATCAAGAAACAAAGCTTATTTCTTGGCTGCATTTATGGCTGTGAAAGTGGATCCAGTTTTCACAGGCTGACATCAAAGTTGGACCGAGCTAAGTCTCCGCAGCTCGTGCTGTCAGCAGTCAAGGACCACATGCACACTCATGCAAACACCTGACCCAGTTCTGAAGCTGCTAAAACATCCAGCAACAACAGTCAGAGAAGCCACACCAAAAGGCCAAAAAATAAAGTAACATGAAAATTGATTCTGTCCCTCCTGGCAAACCTGTTTACATGCAGCACCTAATTCCCTTAATGCAGGCAACTTGTTTTTCTTTCTTTTCCTTTCCTGATTCAACCCACTGGAAGAGAAATATCATGCCCAAACAATTTCACAGCCAGCCACAAAACAGCCCACAAATCCAGCTTTTAAGCCCCAACAGCACCAGCAGCACTGAAGAAGCAATGCTCAGTTCCAGACTTGGCCTTTATTAACGCCAAAACTCAGACTCCAGACCGCCACCCCAACGCTCCACTTCCAGTATCCACACAGACTCCAGAAGCATAACACCAATCGTCAGCTGGCCATCACTGCCCATCACCCATCAGGAGCTCCACATGCCGCAGCGTGCCAGACGGGATTAGCTCACATCAGGCCAGAGGGGCTACAGATCCTTCTTCGTACCCTCCGCCCCTCAGCTTGCTCTCTAACCCTCCTCCTCTGAACCCCTGCTACAATAACACTTTATACATATACATGTATTTGGAGTGTATTTAGGGATGAGTGTATCTGTGTGTGCAGTATACACTCACTGGCCACTTTATTAGGTACATCTAATTGTATGCACTTCATTGCAACACTTCTGCTCAAAATGTTTCGGTTTTTGGTGAAATTGTCTTATATGTTTATTATTGAGGTCATAGTTTAAGGTGGTATTGTACTGGACTACCTTATAATCAGAGGTGTTCCTAATATTCTGACCCTCTCATGCATGTAGTTGGGGAGGACAAAAATATAGAGACACCTCTAAATATAAGAGAGGCATAGATATGTACCTAATAAAGTGGTTATGTTTAGATAGATCTGCCTATTGAACAAGACTGAATTACTGTAGAGTGAAGTGTAAGTAAAATAGGAATAGGAATAATACGTAGAATCCAGGTCCATGAATGGTCTTTTTTCTCCTACCTGACAGACATGGAGAACTCTCCAGGAGCGCTTTCACTCTCTCTGACAAGAAACGCCCCGCAGTCCCTTTGTCTGAGTCGACTTTCTGCCACACCACGAGATATACGGCCAGCAAACCAGCTGGAGGCAAGAAAAAAACAAAGGAAGAGGTTAGTGATGTTACTGCTTTAAGCACATCAGCTATGTGATTTAGAGACATGAGCAGCTCACGTTCATATGAACGTGAGAAGGGTGACAGGATGTGTAATAACTCTGGATGTTTGTATTTTCAGTTGAAATGGTGAGAATTTCAAAAGCAGCACAGATCAATGCTGACAGAGAACAAAAAGACAGGTTATGGCTGGGGATGAAATATGTAAAATTAGCACATTTGTGAAGTTATTTTTGAGTATGGCTGCTAAATATGCACACAACCAAATCCCAAAATGCTGGATTTCAGCTGTCAGCAGTGGGGCATAAGTAATAGTGTCGTTTTTATTCTTGTTTTTTCCCCCTCATTAGTGTTGCTGAGTAAAGCAGGTTGCTTGCACCAGTCAGTCTGATGACTCATACGAGGAGAGAGTACATCCAATATGGTGGATATATTACACGACTCTTTGTCAGAGGGTCAGAATTCCAGGTTTTGATTTCGGGGTTCTGTGAAGAAGCACGGAGAAGGAATACCACTTACAGGCACGCACCCCAACAAACTGTGTGCACAAACCTAACTAGGCAGCTCCAGTGAGACTGTACATTAATACACTGCTGTAGTGGCTGTGTTATCAGTTAGTGAACTGTCACAGCAAAAAGTGAAACCCAGCTGCTGTATGAGCATCTGATAGAGATACAGGGTGTACCAGTAGCTTCACTGTAAACAAACACACACGCACACACGGCTGTACCGTGTGTGGTTACGTAACATAGCGAGTCAGTGTGTCCCTCTGGGTAGGCTGCCTTACACTGGACTGCAGATGTCCAAGGCAGAGCAGAAACTGCCTGGAGCTGCACACACTCACCGATCAGCTGTTTAGATTGACCAGTGCTGGATGTGTGAAATGTTTATGTGCTTTACAAATGACTTGAGGAGGTATTTGTGTGTGTATGTGTGTACTTACGCGTGCGACCTCAGGTTGATGTAATTTTTTGGCACAAAGCCTTTTCTGTTGTGGAGCTCAGCTGTGTACCAGTTAGGATCATCCTCCATGTTGGTGATCTACAAGCAAGCACACACACACATGCACACACATGCACATGAAATATTGCCCATAATGACGCTGATGCAGGCTATTACTGTCGGGTGAAAGGCCACTATCATTTCTCTCTCTCTCGCCAGGCCTCTCTTCTTCTATTATCCGGTACAGTGGCTTTCATCCATCTTTGTGTGAACCCTCAATTCACACAAATTCTAAAGCACACATGATTATTGGCGAATTCAAAAGGCCACATAAAGACCTTGGTGATTACACACAGGAGGGCCAATGAGCAGATTTGGGCTGATCTGTATGAATATGGAAATTTCATCATAAAGTCAGGATGTAACCTGAATTTCACTGAATATGTTTCATCATAACCATATCAGTTTGCACAGAACTGTTGCTGTCATGATGACATTACATGGTATTTATTTATAATAAATGTGTTGATGAGAAAAGTACCGTTATGGCGGTGACTAAGTAACATCTGCTCGTCACTACCCTAATTGTGCTCTGTACTTCAGCTTCAGCTGTGCTCGAAAGGTGGTAAATTATTATTGTTATCGTTATTTTTGACAGTTTGTAGACAGGCTTAGGAACAGTGATGAGGGCAGTGGTTGACAGTCTTTAATTGTGTGAGGCTCACTGACACCTGAATTCAAACTCCAGTTTGACTTCTTTAATGTTCACCTGTCTTTGTGTTGCTGTCGTTTTCTGTTCTGTTGTCACTTCTTATTCATTGTTCTAATCCGGCTCCGACATTCTTGGTTATTTTGATATTTTAAGCCTTTGTTTTGTTTGGCTGCTGCTTCACTCACAGTGGCAGGCTGTGTAAACTCCTTATTTACTTTATCTCCCCTGCAGAGCTGGGGTTCATCACTTTGTTGAACTTTATTCCATTGCCTTTTTGTTTTACCAGTGAAACTAAACAAAACTGAAGGGATTAAGACCAGCAGCAAGCAATGTGCGACGTAGAGTTAAACCGCATACAACTGAGATGTGTGATGCCAGTATGGACTTCATGGAGAACTCTATGGCTGATGTTGCCCATCTGCCAAAAAGTTGCTCTGTCCTCTCTTTGCCTTTAGGAACTTCATTTCATGCACCAGTTACTTTAATGGTTACTCTGCACCCTGGTACATGTATTTTAAAATATGTTGCAGGCTGAGGAGTACTTTACTGTTTATAGCATCAATCACCGTTTAAGGCCCAGTGCTCGGTTCTTCTTGAACAACCCTATTTTAGGCAGTTTAGTACAATTTGTTGGATTCTGACGCACCACATTCACACAGCCAAATCATATGTTCTCTTGTCTGCAGTCACTTCTTGAAGCCACTCTGCCACAGCCTCAGTTAATCCATCCATGACCTGCAGATGTGAACATTTCTAACCAAAAGTTGAGTGGAAAAGTACCGTCTCCCTCTCATCTTCTTTTCCCACCTCTCATGAAACTCCCTCTTTATGTCCTTTTTGATGTTGCTTCTTAATTCCATTTTGCCAGAGGCTACGTTACACATCACGTCTAGAGTTTTTCTTCTTCTCTGCAGTAAAAAAGCTTATTTTCTTCTTTTCCTCACTTCGTGCAGATCAGACACTTCATTGTCACTGCTGCTCTGTTTATTGGTCAAACAATAAAGTTAAAGTTAATAGTTAAACAAGTTATGAATCCTAAGATCCTGAACTGTGGGAAAATCCAAAAATCCAAATCCTTACTTATATTGTCTAGATTGATCATAGGGAGAGAGCAACGGACGTCCAAGCTCAGTCAGATCTTTTCATAATGTCTTCCTTTCTCTTTACGTGTTACTAAAGTTGTCTGTGCTTTATATCTACATGCATGTTCACTGTGAAAATTTCCACTTTGATATTTCACCCCTGTACTAAACAGAGAAACTGTCCTTCACTCTACTTATTAAATTTTATAGATTGCTACCTGAGTTTCAAAAGTCTTCTAATTTAATTGTAGCTCTCCTGTCAATAATACAGTTGCTGAGTCTGAGATATGACTGTTGCCAATATATAATTTGTTTATCTTAGATATAAAATGCTGCATCCCTGAACCTGAATCTGTGTAGATGATCTACATTTAGGATGTTTACCCATGACCACCCTGTGGCTGACTCAGCTCCTACTGGATCATACCATTGGATTTACCAATTGCATAATTAATCATCAAAATAACAGTCATACTTAAAGCCACAAAATTAAGCAATAAAAATACAAAATAGTAAACATGAGTGTTGGCTATGGTCGGGTGACACCTTGCACCCATAAAGCCAAAGCTGGTTTTTATGGGTACAGGGTGTTACCCGGCAGGTTCCTGTGCCTCATTAAGAGTAAACATGAATGTTGGCTCTACAATTTATATATATAAAATGTTTAATGAGGCCCAGAAACCTGTCGGGTGACACCCTGCATCCATAAAAACCGGCTTTGGCTTTATGTCCTTTTTGTTGGACCAGCAACTGATTCTGTAAAAACAACATTTTTTCAGGTATTTGTTTCAGTGACTGATACTTTTATATGACTCATATTTGGAGATGGAAATAGCCATTGTACTATCGGGCTACTTCCTGTGATTTTAGATGCTGACAACTGACAAAGGAGTCACACAATCTAAATACAATTAAAATACGAAGTTGTCACATTCGTGTGTTAGAGTTTGGAGAAGTAGAGAAAAGTATTTTCAATTCCTTTGTAGCAGGATTTGGCCACAGGGTCTTTCAGCTTTAAACAGAATGCCAGAGCAGCTACTTTTTTATTTTTACCATGAAGCTATTTTTCTCACTTCTTCTAATCTTGACTCAGCCTGATTACGTCGTGGCTGCATCACAACTGTGCAACAAGTCATTAGCACAATGCACCAGTAGATGGCTAGATAATGTGAATCTGCTACTATTCACAATAGCAATGAGGTGGAAAAATGAGAAGCACCTTCATAGCTAGAAAGGTGAGCTGTGACGAAATAAAAGTGCAATAAATGAGCAACAGCTATGACAAGTTATCTGACAGTCAAACTAGTGTTTTTTTTTAATTTTGGGCATTTTGCATGAAGTTATGAGTTACTATGATTTTATAAAGCTCAGTCCATCTGGTACTGCAAGCAGAAACGAACAAACATGAAGAATAATTTAAAAGTACTGTCTGACCCATGTCTGAACCAGAACTGTTTGGCTGAGACAAGACAGCAGTTTATCCCAGTGGGAGGAAAGAAAGCACGGCACACAAGCTGAACAAGTCTTGGTTTCCCTTTATAGTTACAGTAAATGCATCACTGTAACCATAAATCATGAGTTAACCGAGAAACTGTTGACCTATAGCCATCAGCCTGCAGTAAAGCTCAATGTTGTGCTGCAGTTCTCGGACCAAAGCCAACGACTAGTTACTTCATGATTTACACTTGATAGGTAAATTACAA